GAGCAGTACCTATTTATCTACTTGCACTTTGACGTGCTTTTGAACTGCTAGATTGGTGACTCTGGGGTTGCAGCGCTCATCTCGCTTTACTGGCCGAGGGAGCCAGCATACAGCTTCCAGGTCATGTGGCCAGCATGACTAAGCCGCTTCTGGTGAACCAGAGCAGCACACGGAAATGCCGTTTACCTTCCCGCCGGAGCGCTACCTATTTATCTACTTGCACTTTGACATGCTTTCGAACTGTTAGGTTGGCAGGAGCAGGGACTGAACAACGGGAGCTCACTCCGTCGCGGGGATTTGAACTGATGACCTTCTGATCAGCAAGCCCTAGGCCTAGGCTCTGTGGTTTAACCCACAGCGCCACCCACATCCCTCAGGAATGAGTTAAGGGAATAATAATAATATAATAATAATATAATAATAATTGTTTATTATTTATACCCCACCCATCTGGCTGGGTTTCCCCAACCACTCTGGGCGGCTCCCAACATATTATTATTATTAATAATAAAGCAATTTAACATCAAACATTAAAAGCTTCCCTAAACAGGGCTGCCTTCAGATGTCTTCTAAAACCAAGGAGGGTGTGGCCCCACAAAGTTCGGGAACCTTGATCGAAAAATCATGCCTGATTTGTCTACAGAGAAACTGTGCTGCCTGTTGGGGCTTGGTATTTTTAATTCGGGACCTGTGCAGGTGTCAGAGGTTAACTTACCGGTACTTCAAAGGGGTTATATGCAGCTTTTTGGCAAGCCCCTGAACACTTTCCTGGGGCTGGTTTTCCCTGCGTCCAAAAGAACAGAACAGGGAGGGGAAGAGAGAGGCTGTAGAGACTGAGTAACTTTTGAAAGCTAGTTCACTGTGCCTTTACACAACACAGAAAGATTACAAGGCATTATTTCAGTCATGAATTTGGGTCCACACATGACATGCTCTTTCATTTTTTTAAAAAAAATATTTATACTGTAATTCCCCCCCCCCCACAAGTATAATACAGTCAGTTCAAACAGTTCAAAAATAGATTCCCTTATTGATCAACTTCGCTTCCACCCTTCCGTGGTTTCCTCCTGTATCAGTCACTGCTGCATATTATAATTATTCTAATCCTTTCATCCATCTTATTCTCAAAATAGCTTTTACTGCTGAGCTTATTCCAAACCGGCTAGTCTGTTCCTTCATGCCAAAGCATGCAATTTGCTGCGACAGTGACCACCAGCACGGACAGCTTTAAATTTATTATTTATTTGCTTACTTAGGGCATTTATTTTCCTCCAAGGAGCTTGAGGTGGCGTAAGTGCCTTTCTCCCCTTCCCCGTTTAGTCCCCACAACAACCCTGTGATTAGGCTGGTTAGGCTGAGAGAGGCAGTGACTGGGCCAAGGTCACAGCCAGGGAGCTTCATGGCCCAGTGGGGGATTTGAACCCTGGTCTCCCAGGTCCTAAATTAATCCTCATGACAACCTTGTGAGGTAGGCTAAGCTGAGAGGCAGTCCAATACTCTTACCAGTACAATATACTGGCCTTCCAAAATGAGAGCAGATAAATCAATGGGGGGAATAACAAATCTTGGGAGTGGCTGTTCATTATGATGCCAAAATTAAACCTCCAAGGCTGTAAGCCGCAGAATAGGAACCACCTGAAGGGACCATTGGGGTGTGTGTTTCTTTGAAAAACACCTGGCTGACTCCTGTGAGAAGCAGGCTGCTTGGTTAGGTGACAGGCCCACCTTTCTCAGTCGCATCAGAGCTCTCCTTACATTCTTACTATGAGAAAACAGTCATGGATGCTATACCTGAGATTCCTGCATTGCAGGAGGTTAGACTAGATGAATTGATGCTTAGACTAGATGAATTGATGCCGAAGAATGGATGCTTTTGAATTCTGGTGCTGGAGGAGACTCTTGAGAGTCCCATGGACTGCAAGAAGATCAAACGCATCCATTCTTAAGGAAATCAGCCCTGAGTGCTCACTGGAAGGACAGATCGTGAAGCTGAGGCTCCAAGACTTTGGCCACCTCATGAGAAGAGAAGACTCCCTGGAAAAGACCCTGATGTTGGGAAAGATGGAGAGCACAAGGAGAAGGGGACGATGGAGGACGAGATGGTGGGACAGTGTTCTCAAAGCTACCAGCAGGAGTTGGACCAAACTGCGGGAGGCAGTGGAAGACAGGAGTGCCTGGCGTGCTCTGGTCCAGGGGGTCACGAAGAGGCGGACACCACTAAACGACTAAACAACAACAACAGACTAGATGAACCTTGGGGTTCCTTACAACTCTATGGTTCTCTGATTCTGTGACATGGGAACCTCCATGTCAGAGATCAGTAAGACTTCCCTGGCCCTTCAGACGTGCTGGACTCCCTATCAGCCCCAGCAGGCCCAATGGTCAGGGGTGATGGTGCAGAGGTGGGCTCCAGAAACCTCTGCAAAGCTACCATTGGGCTACCTTTGTTGTTTGGGGAGGAGGCAATGAAAAGTCCAGAAACGATCCAGAAGGTGGAGCGAGTCCCCTACGGAGACAGGTTGCAGCGTTTGGGACTTTTTAGTTCAGAGAAAAGGCAAGGAAGAGGCGACGTGCTTTTTTCACAGGGGGACGAGGGTATACCAGCTCATGTCCCCTTCATTAATGGCTGGAGGCAGTCCTAGGCGATTGCTCCCCAGGGAATTAGCCATGCTGATTGCCTTAATTATCTTTCCAACCTGCCTTGCCTTGCCCAGAACAAGAATTAGAGGCAGCAGAAGCCACATAGGGAGAAAAAGGCAGCCTCTGGGCTGGAGGAAGAAACTAATGATGCCCATCAACATTTTATTAGCTGCTGGAAAAGCAGCAAAGATGCATTATTAAGGCACTTTGCATTTAAAGGGTATGTGTGTGAGTGTGCAAGTCCTATTGCCACTCATCACCCCAGTGATGAGATTCCAGGGGTTCCAGGCGATTACTCAGGGTTCAGTTTCCTCAGGAGGAAGATAAGCAGAGATTGCGAGGTCTTTTAGATATCTGGTTTTATTTCCACATACATACAACCTGAGCATAACATGGCAGGGCTCACAGCATCAACACCCCAACAGGTCTTGCTTCTTCATCGGTCACAGCTTTGGATCCAGCACGGAGCAAGCAGGCCTCTCTGTCTCCAGCTTCCAGCCTGTTTCCCAGGTCAGCTCTCTCACACAGCTCTGGCTATTGCTCTGAGCTAGGAGAGGGGGTGGAGGAAAGTCCGCTCATTTATTCTATGGCTCCGAGCAACTTATGCTAATCTTATTGCTTAACAAGCCATCCCCAACCAAAAGGACTGGTTTGGCAAGCTGGCTCTTATACCTTCTTTCCCCCACATATACAGGAACCCATGAACTGAAGGGAGCCCAGGGCATCATCCAAACTGACCCCCACCACACAAACCAGCAAAACTATATTCTGATGCTATCAGGCCCATTCGGGTGAGCGTTTGTGTGTGTGCCAACCTGTGATAAGTGTCCGTGTAATATACGCAGCTCTGCCTTCCCTTAGTGCCCTCCAGATGTGCTGGACCGCAACTCCCAAGAGGTCCTGCCAGCACCGATGGGAGTTGTAGTTCGATACATCTGGAGGGCGCCAGGTTGGGGAAGGAGGTGAGATAAGGGAAGGGAAGGGAAGAGATAGAGGCACAAGCATACCCAGAGGGTAGCACCACTTTCTAAATACTGTGTCTTAATGCACTAGATGCATTGCTTAATTAAGTGCCTTAATGCTGTTTGGGGAAATATCTGCCACTACCCAGCTTGCGTTGTGGAGGGGCCTCTGCAATTTTGCAACACTGAATATTTGGCCATATCAAACTGGTTTTTAATTGGCTAGCCCCGACTGGGGATTTTCATAGAACTGTAGAGTTGGAAGGGACCCCAAGAGTCATCTAGTCCAGCCCCCTGCAATGCTTTGATTTTGCTTTGAAAGCCTCTCTCTCACAATGAGTGAAGGTGGGACAGACCTTAGGTTAAGGGAGGATTTAGTCTACGCGACTGCAGAACGTCAGGGCTTAACCCAGGAACACAATATGTATGAAAACAAAGCAGCTCCTGAGCATGGGCAAAGTGCACTTCCAAGCAAAAAGCCACAGCTGGCTCTTGGGCTTATTCTAGAGCAATATCCTTACGAAAGGACATGATAGAGTTGGAAAAGGTTTAGGAAAGGGCAACCAAAATGAAGAAAGGCTGCAGTGTTTGGGACTTTGAAGCTTACATGATAGATTGAAGTTTATTAAAATCATGCATGGCCCAAAGAAAGCGGATAGAGGAAAGTTCTCTCCCTCATAACACTAGAACTCGTGCAGATCCAATGAAGCTGAATGAAGATTTGGGACAGAGAAAAGAAAGGAATTCTTGACCCCGGTGCTCTAATGGGAAACCTGCAAGCAGGATTTGAACACAAGAGCGCTCTCCCCTTCTGGTGTCCAGAAGCATTGCTTCCTCCAGCTGTGGAGACAGCGCATAGCCGTCCTGCCTAGTAGTCACAGAGCCCTTTCCTCAATCAATTTGTCTCATTTCAAAGCCACCTGGTTTGCTTCTAGTGGGAGTGAGTTCCATAGTTTAACCTTCCCTGCAAATAAAAACGAACTACCACCAGCGCACCAGCAGGGAGAAAAGACCTTTTTTTGCCGATGTGTTGCTTTCGAGGTGCACCTTCAAATGGGACTCTTCCCCCCCCCCCAGAAACTCAGGTCTGCCCTAAGCTCTTTCCTCCCCACCCTCCTCTTTTTGCACCTGCCTTCTTCCCTAAGCGAGGACCCGTCCACGCGAGCAGCATCTCAAGGATGCGCAATAACCAAGCCCGCCAAGGAGATGGTTTCTCTGCAAAATTGGGGAGCTCTTCCCGGCTGCCGCCGCCCACCGTCCCTCCCTCCAAGATCTGAAAGCTCAGAGCATCCTTCCTCCTCCTTTTAGAAAGAGGACAGTAGGACCCAGCAGAAGCCTCGGGCGCCGGGGGAGGTGAGTGTCTCTCTCTGTGTGTGTGTCTCGCCTTGTTCCCCGCCTGCTTTTGCATCCTTGAGAGAAAAGGCAGGCAGATTCTTCCAAGGAGGCGCCCGGCCTGCATCCCGGCCAGCGAGGTGTGGGGAGGGGGCCTGTGCCTGCCCAGAGGGGGAAAGGGGGGGCATCAGGCGCGAGGGCGCTGGCTTGGCAATGTGAGCCCATCTGCCCCCATCTCTCTTAGGAGGAGAGAAGGGGCGCCCTGCGCGCCTGCTTTGCTGCCTGGCCCCAGGGACCGGCTCTTCTCCCGACTGGCCCTCTCTTCCCCTGCCTGGCGAGCATCCTTTGAACTCTCCCTGCATCCCAAGGAAGGACCACTTTGCCACCGCCGCTTCTTTCCCCCCACAGACAGCTTTTCTTTCTTCGTGTTTTCTTTTCTTTCCCCCGTAGCGCAAGGGAGGAGAGCAACTCTCCTAGGAGTTGTCGAATGGTCTTCCCCTTTCCTCTTGCAGCCATCTCTTGAGAGGGGAAGGAAGGTTTCAGCGCTTGAGAAAGGAGGGCGGAGGGAGGACGACGACGAGTCCGAGCCAATTGTCGGAGGAGGAAGTCCTTCCACTCTCACCTGTTCCCTCCCGGAGGGCTGGATCTAATGCTGTGACTCACCTGCGCGGCTGGTTTCCGACAGGACACGACAGCAACGCAGCGCCAGGCTTTGGCAGGCGACCAAAGCCACACAGACTTCTTCTCTCCGTCTCCTTTGGGTGGCTCTGCCCCTTTTCCTCCTCCTCTCCCTCCTCCTCCGCCACGAAAAGGAAGAACTCAGGAGTTCTCTGCAGCCTGCTGTTAAGTATTATACTTATAATATCCATGTCCGCTTTCGCCTTGGCAAAAGGAGAACACCTCTCCATTGGGGAGACACGCCTCTGCCAAGTCTGATTTCTCTGGCTAACTTAGTTCCCCCTCCATCTCCACCTGCCTCGTGCTCTCCCCGCCCCCCTGATCCGAGACAAAAACCTCCTTGTTCTTTCATAATCGCTGCGAAATCAGTTTTACAAGGAAAAAAAAAGAGAAAGGATAGAACCGGCCTCTCCAGTTTTGGCTTGGAAACCGAAGGAAGATCTCGCAGGTTTCACATCTCAGCCCGCTTTTCGTTTTGCTGAGACACGCTGAAATTTACAGTTTTGGTGGTGCCGGCTTATATATCTTGACTTCGACGCCATGTCCACCCGGGACAGCGTGCAGATTCCGGACGACCGAGATTTCGACCACTTCCGGACGGAGTGCAATTCTGACGACGGCTGGAGCCTCACGTACAACAAGTCTGGGATTGTCGTGTGGATCCAGATCCTTGAGGCAGAGAAATCCCTGCACAAGATCAAGGTAAGGAATGCGCCGTGGAGCGTGGAAGGATCTGGCCCAGCACAAGCAACCAGGGTTTTGTTGTGGCTTCAGACCACAGGCCCTGGTTGGCAGGGTTGTTGTTTTTTAATTCTCTTGTTTATTAACAACTTTTCTTTTCCCTCAGTTGCCACTTCTACTTTTCTGTCTCTTTTGGGGTCGACGCAGGAAACCCAAGGCAGTTTTCAGACGTAGCGTTTTGAGGTATTTAATATGCAGGGGGCTGCAGCCCATAGTGAACCTGTCCCACGCGAGCCTCACAAAAAGGAAATGTGTGAGAGGGCACCTGTGACCTTGCACCACTCCTGTGAGTTGTCACGTATGACTTCCAACCGCGCCAGAATGCCTGGCGACTGAAGTTTCGAAACCTAACGTGCACTTTGCTGGGAAGTCAGGTTGTCCTCTTAACCTGACATTTTGACCGCTGCATGGAAGTCCTTGATAAGGCATTTCGTTAGAAATTCAGTTGCGCAATCCTCAGTGTCACCGCCACAAAATGAAGCAAGTCCCACAAGGCAGAAGAAAAGCGGCAGATTAATAACTCACAAAAGGGCAGGAGTTACAAAGCGCTGTGCTGTCTTGAACTGGGCCGCTTTGGAACATGTAGATTTTCGGGTTTCACAGAACTCTTTGTCAGATAGAAACTGATGAAGACTTCTGAGAAAGCGGAACATGTGCATGCTTTTATACCGGCTGAAAACATATAATGTACCGGCTATGTTTTCCTTTCCCTGCATGCACCAAGTTTAATTTTTTTTGGGGGGGGGTGCATTTGTGCAAACGTGAATATCTTGGTCTTTTTTATTTGAACTTCTAAGTCACCTGAACTCTGTCCTTGAAGCTCCAGGGAGGCTGCAGTGCAAACACCCACCCACCAGTGATTCACTGCGCTGTGAACCAGGAACTTCCTGGTGCGAGTCTTTCACGAGATCACCCTCTGTCCAACTTAGCAACTCCCCTTTCGATCGGGTTAAGATGATGCTGGCCTTCCTTACAGGGGCGACGTTGCATTTAGTTGGTCAGGATGCAAAGTTCCCTGAATCCTATAAGCAGTATAATGATCCCTGAATCACTCCGGTGCTTTCCCTCCTTATCAACACAACAACCTTGTGAGGTAGGTCAAGCAGGGAAAGAGAGTTTTCTCCAGAGAGCATTGAAGTTCCACTGGAACTAGAATCTTGGCTGTTTTTGGCTGAACACCACATGCTAACTACTATATAATAAATGGAGGATGCCCTAATATAATTATTCTTTAAGAACAGAGGAAGCTTATTGCCTTCACTCACTGACAGTGATTCTCTCAGGTTTCAGATTAGTGCCCCCCCCATCCCCTGGAGATGCTCTCCAAGCATTCAAAACTTGCTAGGTACATTTTGCACCTGGCTATCAGCCACTTGCGACCAAGTGAAGATACCCGGGAGCCAGGATGGCACCTGATGTCTCCACCACCTGTGGATCCTTGGCTCAGGACTGTTTTCATGCACCAATTCCACAGGTACCAAAAAGTCGCACAGAAAAAATACGACTTTTGAGTCGTCTGGACCCCCAAATGGCCACTAGGCATTCCATTTTGGCAACTGCAGCCCTGGTTTAAGGAGCCATTTGGCGCCTAGCTTATATATCTGAATTCCTAACCCTGTTTGTCTCTGAGCTTTGCAACGCACACAGCTTTCGGAGAGCTCCAAGTGCCTCCCATACATGGTCTTCCTAATACTCGCAACCACCCTGTAAGGGAGGCAGTAATTATTATCTCGCTATGAGCCAGGGTAGGGCTGTGGCCCTAGCGTCTTACACGGTGCCCCCTTCTGGATTTCTGACGGAGGCAAGGTTGGTTGAACCAGGGGATTTTATCACATGCAACTTTTCATACAGGGGAGGGAGAAGCTGCTTTGGAGATCCCCTTTTCTATGCAAGGAGTTAGGGGCTCAGCTGGCCTCTCCCCTCTATGCCTGCCTGCTATACAGAAAGTAACCAAACAATTAAACCCCTGTGTTGCAAACAATTATCAGTAATAGCCAAGGCAACACGATGACCAAGTATAACAATGCGATGTCAATATGAGCTCTTTATATAATCCATACAGAACATTGAACAGTATGAAATATATGAAATATGCACTCTCTGCAAAACCAAATAAACAGAAATCTTATAAATCTCTGAAAGTCACAAAATAGGCACTCTTGATGGATTCTCTTGAAAACATAGAACCAAATAAACATAAGTCTTAGAAAGTCTTTGTAGACTATGCAAGTCTCTGAAAGAAGCAATGGGTCAGATTCTTATCTGGTGAAAATAAGCCCTAAAGCTTTGTTTTATGACGTCCAACGCTGCTGAAGTGGTCCGCAAACAGATGTAGTGAACAGTGATTCCAGATATACCCACTTTCTGCTGTACAGAAAGGGCTTCTCTTCATCCAGGACTCCTTTGGGAGGGGAGGAAGGGCGGGATACCAATCTTTGTTAAGAATAATAATTATTAATTATTATGTTAATAATTATAGAGAAAACTCATGCTCGGGCTTTGCCAAATACCCTGCATGTCGTTCAGATACACAGTGAGCCAGTTCACACATGCATTTTAAACGTGGCGTTTGTTAGTCAGCTTTTCTGGGTCTTGCGAATGCTACGGTGACCAACGGGTGTTGAGATCGCAGTTCGTTGCCTCCAGCCTCAGTTCTATTGGCCATCCAACCACTGCTTAAAAACCTCTCCCGAAGGAGAGTCCACCATGTTCATAAGACCAATCACTCTGGCAAAGAGGAGAACCAAACCAGACTGAAAAGACAGTTATAGGAGCCGACCCAAAGTTTTCCCCCCCTACATCATGCGAGAGAGCTGTGAAAATATGATTCCTTTCCCCGTTCCTCATCTGTCTCCTCATCCATCTCCTTCTGTCTCGTATGCCTGAAGCTTTTTAGCAGAGATCCTCTTTGCTTAATCACATAAAGAGATGGAGCAGGGAGATCGGTTTCCCGAGGGGGAAAACGGATGTTTCCATCCCATTAACGTTACCCGGCACTCTGGGGCCAGAGGTCAGTTGGTGCCTCCGAGACGCCATCTAAGCAGCAACAAGGATCAATGCGCTCTGGTGGCTCCTTCCGTGCTTTGCATCCGTGCAGAATGACGGCTAAGTGGTGTCAAGGAATAGATTCATTCGCCACAGATTTAAAGAGGTGGATTTGGAGGACGGGCCTCAGAGATCCTTGAGCACCAGCAAACGTAGATCCCTTTTAGGCTTGGCAAGTGACCAGAAGCAGGAGGGAATGATATGAAGTGCTCTTGTGCCCGGTGAAGCTTTTTCGCAGCCTGGAAATAAACACCGTGCTTTTTGTAAACATGAAATCTGCCTGCGGTGGCAGATATCGAGGTACCAAGCTGTTTCTGCACAGCAGCAGAGGCATTTTGAGAAAGCTGGCAACCTCAGCTCCACAGGTCCATCTGCCTGCATCTCTTGATCCAGGCATAGCCTTTGAAAGAGATTTCTTTTATTTTCTCTTGAAAAATAATAGAATCAAACGTTTTTCTTTTTCTGGCTCGGTTAAGAGGAACGGTTACCCTCCAAAATCGTGCCTCAACAGGGTGGGGGCTTGGAGATACGATATATGATAGCTTGTTTCCTCCAGTTGATCAGTTCCATCAATTGGAGATGCTGAAATGAGGCAGCTGTTTAAGAGGCCCGGAATCTGTTTTCCCATCTTGCAGTTTGTAATCTCATCTATTCTCCCTTCTCAGAAAGACACACACACAGAAACCTCACTCCTGAGAAAGGCACAGAGGCATAAACGAAAGTGTAGCACCACCTGGTAGATGACTCTTGGTGGTTATTGTTGTTATAATATATTTAATTATACCCTGTCTTTTTCCTTGACGGGGACTCGTCGACTTACAGTTAAAAATAAGAACTGCTAAAAATGTAAGGGGAGGGCAAACAATAACCAAAAAGCAAATTAAACATTGATAGAATTAAAACTCTTTCTCTCTCTCATCATAGAATCATAGGACTGTGGAGTTGGAAGGGACCAAGAGGGTCATCTAGTCCAGCCCCCTGCAATGCAGGAATCTTTTGCCCAGTGTGGGGATCAAACCCACAACCTGAGATTAAGAGTCCCGTACTCTATGGACCAAGCACACACATATATATGTATATCTATTAAAACTATACATATAAGTGCAATAAAAACAGCAAGCAACAGCCCTTTCCTTAAAAGCAGTCAGATCCCCAAAGTCTGTTGGAACAAGCAAGCCTTCATCTGCTGGTGGCAGGACAGCAAGGAGGGAGTCTGTCTGGCTTCTCTAGGGAGGGGGTTTTCAAGTTGCTTGGGAGGAGCCACCACCGAGAAGGCCCTCTTCTGCGTCCCCAACAAGCGTCCCTGTGAGGGTGGTGGGACCAAGCTAAGGGCCTCCCCTGAGGGTTTGCAGCTGACCAGCTGCTCTTCAGAGTTAGATTTATGAGGGGAGGTCAATGGATGCTGCAGGGGTCGGCAAACCTTTTCAGCAGGGGGCCAGTCCACTGTCCCTCAGACCATGTGGGGGCCGGACTATATTTTGAAAAAAGAAAAGAAAAAAAAGAATGAATTCCTAGGCCGCACAAATAACCCAGAGATGCATTTTAAATAAAAGGACGCATTCTACTCATGTGAAAACCCGCTGATTCCTGGACCATCTGCGGGCTGGATTTAGAAGGCGATTGGGCCGGATCCGACCCCCGGGCCTTAGTTTGCCTACCCATGCTGTTGAGAGTTTCAGAGAAGGAGATGGATAGACCTTACGCATGGCTAGAAACCAAGAGAGCTGGCATGGCGTAGTGGTGGTTAGAGAGTTGGACTAGGACCTGCGAGACCTGGGTTCGAATCCTGACTTGGCCACATGCAGTGTGGGGCCTTGGGGGTCAGTGGCCGCCTCTCAGCCCAGCCTACCTTGCAGGGTCGATGGGGGGATTAAATGAGGAGGGGGAGCATTACTTAGGCCACCTTGAGCTCCTTGGAGGAAAAGGTGGGAAAATACATTTGATAAGTAGATAACAAGGGCAGAGCTCTACTGGGAGAATGTCCCACTAGGTAGCGTGTCGTTTTAGGGGCTGAAACCCAATTTTTCATTGAGGGCCTTAAAAATATGTTTTTGGGTGTAAGCAATTCAAACCTGCTATTATTTTCTGTGATTGGACAACATGTAGCTTGGTAAGGCTATGTTTGAAGAAGGAGCACATAAACTGCTTGAAGGAAAACCAAAGGATTTTAATCTTACCTTCTGAAAATGTCAGGTAATGCTAAATAACAGCAATAAATATAACAAGATGCAATATTATATGACAGATGGACATCCGCCCTCTGTTTAAAAACTGCCTGTGGTGAAGAATCCATCACTTTCTGAGGGGACGTATGTGGATAAGGCGACTTCAAGGGTGAACCGGTACAAATTGTTAAGGACTTCATGTGCTAACATATGAATGAACGCTGAGGAAACAGTTGTCATCTAACGTCCCCGCAAACTTTGCACAAGCAAAAAGGCATTTCTTCTTTTTTAAAAGACACGTGTTCTAAGGTGCTACAGGTTCGTAAATGTCACATAGAAAGCATTGGGAGGGGGTAGTGTTGGTCAGTGTCAGAAGGTCCTGGGTTCAAAACTCACTGGCTTCTCCAGGAAAGCTGGGAGAGATCCCTGCCTGACCACTGGTCTGATTCGGTATTACACAGCTTCCCTTGCTCTTATCTAAGAGTCCAGCTGTTTCTTCTCCAACAGAGCCAGCATGAAATTGTGCAAAAGCCCGGCAGCATTTTTCAACCTGAAGCCCACTTCCTGGCATTCAGAACTTTGCAGATGGCGCGTTCAGGTTCTTAGGCCCTTGCAGACTTGCGTTCAAGGCACGAACTTGCGGCGTTGGTTGGTGAAGCTAAATAGGTTTGCATCCCAAGCCCAGTTATGGAACTCATTGCCACAGGAGCAGGGATGGCCACTGACCTTAGATAGCCTTAAAAGACCAGTAGGCCAATTGATGGAGGAGGCGAGGCCTATCGAGGACTTTGAGCCAGGATGGAAGTTTTTGGAAGCCACAGGAGGGGGAGAGGGCTCCTGTGTTCACTTCAGATCCTGCTTGTGTTAATATTTTAAATTCCCTGCCCTGGAGCTCCAGACCACCCCTCCATACATCATGCATACATCACAGAAGGGGTGTAACCCAAGCCCACCACCCCCAGATACATCATACCTACATCACAGAAAAGGTGGTCTACAGCAGAAATCTGAGTGTGTTGTTTACCTCCTGTCTGGCAGGTTGCCTGTTTAATGCTTACTTTATTGGATACCCTGGGGAGCCTGGCCAGTCTTTTGTAATGATAAATTCTTAGTTCCTGAGCCAGGTCACAGGCTCACCCTATTCATACACAGACATACCCTTAAGACAGGATTTGTGAAGGATAAGACAATGGGGAGGCTTTTCCATTTTCCTTTGACCTTGCAGAGAAAACATTTGGTCAGTTTGGGAATCAAAAATGGTTTCAGGTCGGTCTTCCTGTGCTGGTCTATGTACGTGCTTGGTTGGTACATTTATGAACATTTAATATATATCTAAGACCTTAAAATTCTTATCACACTTGCAGCAGGCATCTGGTTGGCCACTGCAAGAACAGGATGCTGGACTAGATGGGCCAATGGCCTAATCCAGCAAGTTCTTCTTAGGTTTTTAGGTTATGCCCCCCCCCCCACACACACCAAGAGACACCAATACAACACACACAAGACATTGGGCAGACAAAAAGGTAATTTGGTTTTTAGGTTTCTACATTTGGAGAGAGGCAAGAATTTTCTCTCAGCAGAAGGGCAGATGTTGGACACCTTATTTTGTGCCAGGCCTACCACGCCTTTCCCTGCTGCACAGCAGGCGGAAATTAAACCGGTGCAGTTTCCCAGCACCGCTGGGGTGTGGCGCCGGGAAAGCTTTGCTCCTTGAACCCTTGCGAGTAGCGTGTAAGGTAGAGGAGAACCTGGCAGAAGAAGAGAGGTGGCAATTTGAAGAGATACTCAGGTGGAAGCGGTTCACTGTGTCCTTTGAAAGCGATTCTTTGCAAGCCTTGAGAAGCAGGCGAGGCGGGGGGGGGGTGTGTGTGTCTTTTTTTAGAAGCAAGAGTCTTCATTTTGCTTCGGCATTTACACTTTGCTGATACAAAGCTTCCCACTCTCCACGGGGGAGGCAGTTTTTAGTTCATTGTTGAGTAAATGAGAAGCTTCTATCAGTCCTTGCTGGAGGGTTGGCACCTCACTCTGGCGGATAAATTCACACTTAGGCAAGAGAGGTTACAGGTTCCTGTTTCTCCCTTCCTTCAAAAGAAAGGGGAAAGGGAGAAGAATATTGTCTCTGCTTCAGAGACCTGCATTCAGGCTTCAAAGCCAGACAGAGAAACAGCCACAACGGGCAGGAAGAAGGTTACCTTTCCTCTGCGTTAGAGAAACCTAGGCGCTATGTGTCTCCAGCCCTTTCTCTCCACCTGTTCTCCGAGATTGGTGAGCGCTTTGGGTTCGGATGGGGCCGGAAATCTGATTCAGGTAGCATTCGTAGGTGAATCTGATTTGCACCTTCCGAAACAAAAGTGAAGTGCAACACAGCCATCGTTGGAAATTTCCACATCTCCGAATCTTGCAGTGCCCTTTTCCAGCCCAGAAACATAAACAAAATTGCACATCACTGTGTGCAGGAAAATGCACGTTTTATTTATATATTGCATTTATACCCTACCTTTCCTTGAAGGAAAAGGGACGAAGGTGGCGCTGTGGGTTAAACCACAGAGCCTAGGACTTGCAGATCAGAAGGTCGGCGGTTCGAATCCCCGCGACAGAGTGAGCTCCCGTTGCTCAGTCCCAGCTCTTGCCAACCTAGCAGTTCGAAAGCACGTCAAAGTGCAAGTAGATAAATAGGTACCGCTCCGGCGGGAAGGTAAACGGCGTTTCCGTGCGCTGCTCTGATTCGCCGGAAGCGGCTTAGTCCTGCTGGCCACCCAGCTGTACGCCGGCTCCCTCGGCCAGTAAAGCGAGATGAGGGCCGCAACCCCAGAGTCGGCCACGACTGGACCTAATGGTCAGGGGCCCCTTTACCCTTTACCTTTACTTCCTTGAAGGAGCTCAAGGTGGGCTACGTCGTTTTACCTGCTGGGGGCTGGTCCCCACTGAAGGTTACTCAGTGAGCTTCATGGCTGAGCGGGGATTTGAACCCTGGTCTCTCCCAGCGCTCTATCCCAGCCCGGCATTCTAACTGTTATAAGAAAAACCTGCTCCTTTCCCCTTATGGGGTATCTAAGAGCCTTCCTTAAGAAGGTCCCCTATCGGAAGGAGAAAACAACAGAGGCCAACTAGAGAATATTGAGAAGCAAAGCAGCTACTAAGCCTGATCTTTATTAACTGTTGCAACAGGGTCCCCGCCACTCACCACACGCAGGAGGCAGGAGGGACCCAGAACAGTGGTGCGCAAGCCCTTATACACTGTAAAGACTTATGAAATTGCCCCCCCTCGTAGCCCAAGACCACCCCCCCCAAAACAACATACATACATCACAGAAGGAGGCTGTCTACAGCAGAAATCCTGTGTGCCAGGATACCTAGTAATGGTCACTGATTGCTTTAACTGGTCAGCCTGGCCATTCTTTTGTGATGGTAAATACCGTATTTTTCACTCTATAAGACGCACCAGACCACAAGACGCACCTAGTTTTTGGAGGAGGAAAACAAGAAAAAAAATATTCTGAATCTCAGAAGCCAGAACAGCAAGAAGGATCGCTACACTGTGAAAGCAGCAACCCCTCTTGCTGTTCTGGCTTCTGGGATAGCTGCGCAGCCTGCATCCGCTCCATAAGACGCACACACATTTCCCCTTACTTTTTAGGAGGGAAAAGGTGAGTCTTATAGAGCAAAAAATATGGTACTTTAATTCCTGAATCCAGGTCACAGGCTGGTAAGCAAAAGACAATGGGGGAGCTTTCCCATTTCCTCCCTCACTGCAGAGAATATTTGAGTCAAAATGACTTCGGGATTGCTCTCCTATACTATTTCAGACACGTGGTTTATATACTTATGTATGTGTTTGCCTTGTAGATTTATGAACATATGATTTATATATATGAGACCTTAGAATTCCTATAACAACCTGCCTCTCCCAACGCTCTTATCACAGCCCAGCCTTCTAACCATTGCACCACACCGGCATACAAATTGCATGATGTAAGCAAAAACTGCTTTGCAAAAATGGGTATATTGGCCAAACTGCAGATAAAGGTGGGTGAGTTAGGAGAAGTCTTCCCTTAAAAGCTGCCAAATTGTCACAAGGACTTTTGTTGCTGTTGTTGCAAAATTCCACTTAAGAGTGGAAAACAGAGAAATTTAGATTGACAGATTTATCCATCCCTAACTGTGCAAAGAGTGAAGGAGCAACTTCAGCCGATTTTGGATGCCGCTAAGGGGGAGACTGACAGATCCAACTTGTGGATGGAAATTCAGGGCCCCGTCCATTGCCTTATGCAACTGTGCTGACCTACCACTCGATTTCACAGCATTTTCAGTGGACCGTACCCTAGGCCTTAATCCAGCTCTGCTTTTAATTTTTAGTGTCAAGTTTGCTACTGACACTAACTTTTTCTCCATTAAAAGAAGAGTCCTTTTTGTGCGTTGAGAAATATACATCTTTGGAGCGTGTTCTCTTGTTCACATTGCTAGCAATAATATGTTTGCACAGTTGCACTTTTCAGCAAACCGAGGGCGTGAAATGCAGGCGACAGAATCCTTGCCCAAGTTGTGAGACGGAAATGGCAGCTTTGTATCTTTTCAGATCCGAAAACGGTCCGTCTTAAAAATAAATAAAAATGCCCTAATTTCAATTACCATTTCTAACAAGTAGGATGGCTTCTTCCTTAGGCGGTTTGCTGCGAAGTTTGGGATCTATTTAGGAACATGAAAAGCTGCCTCGTGCAGAATCAAACCCTTGTTCCACTAAAGACAGGAGTAGGGGAACATCTGTGGCCTTGCAGATGTGGCTGGACTCCCAACTCCCATCATTGCTGACCATTGGTCATGCTGGCTGGGGCTGATGGGAGCTGGAGTCCGGCAAGCCTTATGAGGAGTGGTTGAAGGAGCTGGGTATGTTTAGCCTGGAAAAGAGGAGACTGACAGGAGATAGGATAGCCATCTTCATATATTTGAAGGGCTGCCACATGGAAGATGGAGCAAGCTTGTTTTCTCCTGCTCTGGAGGAGAGGACTCGAACCCATGGCTTCAGGTTACAAGAAAAGAGATTCCGACTATATGTTGAAGAATCATTGCTTCGACACTTGTGATCTTTGCTTCTTCCAGTACACTGGTATTTGTTTGCCTGTCTTCCCAAGTGATGTGTAAAATTTTTCAGTGACACCGTTGATGGAATCTTTCGAAGAGTTGGAGATGGCGTTTATAAGTGGTCCATGTTTCACCATAGTTTAATAAACCACGGCTTAGTGTTAAGTGAGCATCAGGGCTGTCCGAGGTATCAGAAACAAGGCCTTCGAAACAAGGAGACCTAGCAGTAAGTGGGAACTCAGCTCTGAATCTGGTTAGACCAGTTCTCTTCCTCTTTTCCTGTCCTTCCTCTTCCCCTGACAGTTTCACCTGCCCTTTTGATTTACTGGTTCCATAAAAAGATAAGCCTTTCCCACATCTGTGCACGTCCTTGAGACGCCTCCAGCTTTCTGAGTCTCCTGCCCTTCCCTAAAGATTGCAGTTGCCAAGAGAGAACCGGTTAGGGTTGCCATATTTCAAAAAGTAGAAACCAGAGCACCCCAAAAGTTTGGTGGGAAAAGCCACCCAAAAACCCACGATTTTTCGATTGACTTGCCTAAGATCCAGGACAAAGCGCCACCCTCCAGAAATTCCCCCCAGACGTCACTTCCTCCCTTGAAATCCCGGTAATGTCTGGGAAAATCCAGACATATGGCAGCCATAGAAACTGTGCTGGTCTGGAGCTGAGCCTGGCAGCCTGTTTTCAATACTGGGGCTTTGTATTGGAGTACTGAAGTAGTGAAGAAAAGTGACTGTGAGCATGCGCAAAGTGCCTTTCCCCTCACCCCTGCACAGCCTTATCCTCCTGCACAAATGGGTGTGATCCTCTTTTAAAATTTTCTTTCTTTCTGTGTTGCACTTACCGTATTTTTCGCTCCATTAGTCACACCTAGTTTTTAGAGGATGAAAACAAGAAAACAATAATATTCTGAACGAAACAGTGGATGTATGATTTTTGTGGTTCATGCTGTGGCCACAGACATGTGATTTGGCGGTGAGTTTGGGGTAGCCCAGTGCGAAAATCCTGAGGATCCATGTGGATCCGTGCTTTGTAACCACGTTTTTGCGCCATTGCGGCCCCACGAAACAGTGGGTGCGGGTTTTTTTGGTGCAGGCTGTAGCCATGGACATGCTATGTGATCTGATGGAGAATTTGGGGTGATCCAATGCAAAAATCCTGAGGATCCATATGCTTTTACCTCCCCACTCCCAGGCAGCCTCCTTTATCGCTAGCGTCCCTTATCTCCCTCCTGATCGCTTGCCGATCAGCTGCTCAGCGGCTTCGTTTCAACACCCCTTCCCTCTTTCTAAAAAACAACAACAAAAAAACACAATCTGCTTTTCACCCCTGGGCAATTTGGCTCCAGGGACCACGCATTCACTCCATAAGACGCACAGACATTTCCCTTTACTTTTTAGGAGGAAAAAAGTGTGTCTTATGGAGCGAAAAATACAGTATATCCCACCTTTTCCTTGAGGTGGCCTGCATGTTTCTCCCCCTCCTCTGTTAATCCCCACCACAACCCTGTGAGGTAGGTTAGACTGAGAGGCAGTGACTGGCTCAGGATCACACCCGAGGGAGCTTCATAGCCAAGTGGGGATTCAAACCCTGGTCTCCCAGGTCTTAGTCTGACACTCTAACCACTGCCCTCCTGTGGCAGGGAGTTCCATAGTTGAACCCTGTGCTGCATGAAGAAGTTCTAAATCTTCCCACATTCAGCTTTATGGGATGCCTGCAAGTTTGAGTGTTCTCAGAGAGGGAGAACACTTTCCTCTATCCAATTTCTCGAGGCCTGTCTTCCTGTCTTCTAGACAACGGGGATTATCGGTTCTCGCAGGCAGCAAAAGAGATGTTAACGCTTTCAACTGGTCTGGACTACAGGTGGGGTCTCCTTTTATTTTAATTTGCGCAGAGGGGAATTCAGCTCCTCCTTTGAGCCCCTGTTTGCGTCTGGAAGTTGTCCAGTCCAGAAACAGCTTTCCCCTCCTTCTCTGCTGTTTGGGAGCAGCAGGACTCGTCCCCCCCCCTCCCCGATCACTGATTTATTGATTTATGGATAGAACAAATTACATCCTGCCCTTCAAAATGGTGTTTCTAGGGCGGCCTTGCAGCCAAGCACAAACAAAACAAGCAACCAGTCCGTCAGAACAGGACAATGTCAAGGATAACGGATAAAACAGGATATGCAAACAGCGTGGAAGACATAAACAGGCACCTCCCAAGCTGTGCAGGCCTTCTGACCATTTGCTAAGTCCCTGTCTCTCCTGGTTCCTGACTGCCTGAGGTCCTTTGCCAGCCCGGTGTCCTCTGGAAGTTTTGGACTACAACTCCCACCAGCCCCTGCCAACATGCTCTGGGCGTTTCAGACTACATTGGACCCTCGGGTTACGTTACCTTCGGGTAATGCAACTTTCGGGTTGCGAACGCGGCAAACCCGGAAGAGCATTCTTCTGGGTTTCGCCACGCACGCATGCACAGAAGCGGCGCCTCTGCTTACAGAATTTTCAGGGCGCAGACGGACACCCGGAACAAATTAAAATTCATATCCGGAGGGTCCACTGTACAGTGGTGCCTTGGTTCTCAAACGCCTTGGTTCTCAAACAACTTGGAACCCAAACACTGCAAACCCAGAAGTAAGTGTTCCGGTTTGTGAACTTTTCTCGGAAGCCATTTGGAGTGCCACACTTCCATTCTGAGTGTTACGCTGAGGTCTGTCTGTTTTTGCTATTTATTTTGCGTTTTTGTGGCTCTTTTTTTATCTTGGTTTTGTGACTGTGTGGAACCCAGTTCAGCTACTGACTGGTTGATTGTGTGACTGCAGTACATTGTTTACTGCTTTCATTTTATGGATCAATGGTCTCGTTAGATAGTAAAATTTGTGTTAAATTGCTGTTTTAGGGGTTGTTTTTAAAAGTCTGGAACGGATTAATCCGTTTTGCATTACTTTCTATGGGGAAGCGTGCCTTGGTTTTGGAACGCTTTGGTTTTGGAACGGACTTCCGGAACGGATTAAGTTTGAGAACCAAGGCACCACTGTACAAAGCCCATCATCCTGAGCCAGCACAGCTGTGCACCTGGGTCAGCAGAGTCCTCTCTAGGCATCATCCACGAAACTGTCCTTTACTTACATAATGTTCCGCTACACTTTGTGGGCAGCTATGACTCATCCTCTGCTTTCCCCCATTTCTTTATTTTCATTACCGTGATCATTCCTTTCTCTTCTGCTTTATATAGTCCAGATCTATCTTTCCTGGTAACAGAGACGTTTGAAGACCCTGACTGCTCTGGCGTTCATTAAGATAAAGGTAAAGGTAAAGGTGACCCCTGACCATTAGGTCCAGTCGTGGCCGACTCTGGGGTTGCAGTGCTCATCTTGCTTTACTGGCCAAGGGAGCCGGCGTACAGCTTCCAGGTCATGTGGCCAGCAGGACTAAGCCGCTTCTGGCGAACCAGAGCAGTGCATGGAAACGCCGTTTTCTTTCCCGCTGGAGCGGTACCTATTTATCTACTTGCACTTGGACGTGCTTTTGAACTGCTAGGTTGACAGGAGCAGGGACCAAGCAATGGGAGCTCACCCTGTTGCGGGGATTCGAACTGCCAACCTTCTGATCGACAAGCCCTAGGCTCTGTGGTTTAACCCACAGCGCCACCCGCGTCCGTTATCATTAAGATAAGTTTTGCTAAAAGTGCGTTGCTGAGACCTCAGACCTTAGAGCAGGTGCTCAGGGCTGAAGCTGCCGAATCAGGACTGAGATCACAACGCTTGAGGCGCTTAGCTTGCATGTGATCTGAGTGGGTGCAAAAAATACCCCCCTCCCAAAACATTTTTCTCAGATTTATTGCTTTCAGCTTGCAGATGATCTGTAAGAAAACTACTGTAGAAAGGGAAGGGAAGGGAAGAAATTTAGTGAAGTCACTGGTCTCCCCAAATCCTGGAGGTGACAGGATAGACATTTATGAAATTCTGCATCCTTCCCTCATAAGGGAGTCAGTCCAATCCCTCTCTTGACCACTTTGGCTGCCCTTTCCCAAATCTTTTCCAACTCCACAATATCCTTTTTGAGGCAAGGTGCCCAAAACCCTTCACGACTTGAGACCTCAGTACTTAAGACCCCGTCCCTTACACACCTCCCTGCATCCTAAGGTCTAGGAAACCCCTTCTCTGTGGGGTTCCTCAACCTGAAGCTCAGAGGGGGCAACAAGAGAGACACCCCCCTTTGGTGGTGGCCCCACATCTATGGAACGCTCTCCCAAGAGAAGCCCACCCAACACCCCCTTTGTGGTTCTTTAGGTTAAGGTTTTCCTGATCCTCCCCATCCTTTTAAGATCAAGTCCTCATGTTATCGGTGGCAGGCTTAATTTATATTTTATTGTGCTAGTTTTGCATTTGGGCTTCTATTCCGGTTCCCGCTTATAATCTTATCGTGGCTCGATTGCCGTATATAGCTTTAGGGTTGTTTTATATTCTTGGACTCGGACCGCGGCTAGATAAGATTATTTTATGACGCTCCTTATCGGTGTAATAAATGAACGGATTGTGCGGAAGAGAGAAGGGGCTTTGTTTTGTTTGAGCACCTGCCATTCATCTCTCTTGACTGCCTCCCTGGTCAGTTTCTCCCTCAATAGATGTTCAGGATACGTCATGGAGCGCAATCTAACCCTGGAAGGTTTTGGCAGGGAGCCGGTTCTGGGAACAGCCGATAGCCTGGCTCATCTTGGCATCAAATGACACGTCTCACTTATGAGACTCTGCCTGTTAGTTAATGTTTAAACAGCCACCCTGCTCTGCTTCCAAACAACATTAGCTGAGTTTTCCCAACTGACATGAAAAGTGGGCGCTGCTCGCATCCTGCTGTTCCCTGTCATTATGGATATGTGGAAAGGCATGATTCACACAAACCACAGAGGCTGTCGCTCCTTGATGGCATGTGTTTAACAGACGAGGATGCAGCCTCGAAGACAATTCCCACTTGAAAAAGGGACCTTAGACATAATGCAGCCCAACTCAGTATAGTGTTCAGGGAATGTTGTTGTTTAGTCGTTTAGTCGTGTCCGACTCTTCGTGACCCCATGGATCAGAGCACGCCAGGCACTCCTGTCTTCCACTGCCTCCCGCAGTTTGGTCAAACTCATGTTCGTAGCTTCGAGAACACTGTCCCACCACCTCGTCCTCTGTCGTCCCCTTCTCCTTGTGCCTTCCATCTTTCCCAACATCAGGGTCTTTTCCAGGGAGTCTTCTCTTCTCATGAGGTGGCCAAAGTCTTGGAGCCTCAGCTTCAGGATCTGTCCTTACAGTGAGCACTCAGGGCTGATTTCCTTAAGAATGGATCGGTTTGATCTTCTTGCTGTCCATGGGACTCTCAAGAGTCTCCTCCAACACCATAATTCAAAAGCATCAATTCTTCGGCGATCAGCCTTCTTTATGGTCCAGCTCTCACTTCCATACATCACTACTGGGAAAACCATAGCTTGAACTATGCGGACCTTTGTCGGCAAGGTGATGTCTCTGCTTTTTAAGATGCTGTCTAGGATTGTCATTGCTTTTCTCCCAAGAAGCAGGTGTCTTTTAATATTCAGATATCTCAAGGGCTGTCACATGGAAGAGGCAGCAGGCTTGTTTTCTCCTGCTCTGGAAGGTAGGACTCGAACCCATGGCTTCAAGTTACAAGAAAGGAGATTCCGACTAAACACTAGGAAGACCTTTCTGAGGGTAAGAGCTCCCTTGGAATGTGGGTGACTCTCCTTCGTGGGAAGTTTCAAAGCACAAGATGTGTGCCAGCCCTGGAAATGGGGCATTGATCGGGCCGGCATCTCGCAGATATCGAAGGGAGTGGGGTGGGAGTTTGTGTCTGCTGGCTGGAGAACAGTTTCCCTACTCATTTGCCAGGATAATGATTTGTGCGGATGCCGAGAGAGGCAGCATTTCATGGAAACAGCCTTGAGCCGAAGCCTTGAGCTTTCAGACCTGGAAGGGATTAAATTACGCATTTGTGCAACTGAAGAAGTGTGCATGCACACAAAAGCTCATACCAATAACTAACTTAGTTGGTCTCTAAGGAATTTTTAAATTTAATTTGATTTATTTTATTTTGTCTTGATTTGTGCAACAGTGAGAGTTCGGTGTGTAACAAAAATATACGTGCACCATTTCGTTATTTGTTTGCCATGCTCTATATCTCACGTTTCTCCAAAACACGAATGGAGAGCCTCTGGCCCAGTGACAAAATGTGGCCCTCCGGGCGTCTCTCTCTGGCCCTTGAGACTCTCTCCTGGCCACACCCCTCAGTGGCTCTGCTCTGCAACTTCCTCCAGTGGTTTTGCTCCGACTTTAATTCTGCTGTTGAACTGGATGGAGGGGCGCGCGTGTTTACATGCGTGTAAAAAACCTCTGGCCTTTGCATGGCTAGATTGTAAACCAGTAGGGCAAAAGAAGAGGAGAAGATCCTGCTGGATCAGGCCCAAATGGCACATCTAGTCCAGAGTCCGCTTCTCACTATGGCCAAACAGATGACTGTGGGAAACCCGCAATCGGGATTCGAACACAAGACCCCTCTCCCCTCCTGCCGTTTCCGGCAACTGGTATTCAGAAACAGCCATGAATTCTCCCAATCCTCTTTCAAAGTCATCCAAGTTGGTGGCCAAGCAAGGTCAAGCATGGGGCTTCTTCTTCTACTTCTTCTTTTTAAATAGTTTTTATTGAAAATTTCAACATAACAATTTATCAAAAACATATCATCCTCATCCCCCCCCAATTTTCCCTCCCCCCTCCCTAAAAGAAACCCACCCTCCCGGACTTCCCGCAGCTCCTCTCTCTGGTTTTTAAGCACATGTTATTTTCTGTGTATTATCAAATTGTAATGATCCTTAATTTGTCTGTCTATATGTTACCAAGGAGGGAGGCGGGTGGCGCTGTGGGTTAAACCACAGAGCCTAGGACTTGCCGATCAGAAGGTCAGCGCTTCGAATCCCTGTGATGGGGTGAGCTCCCGTTGCTCGGTCCCTGCTCCTGCCAACCTAGCAGTTCAAAAGCACGTCAAAGTGCAAGTAGATAAATAGGTACCGCTCCAGCGGGAAGGTAAACGGCGTTTCCGTGCGCTGCTCTGGTTCGCCAGAAGCGGCTGAGTCATGTTGGCCACATGACCCGGAAGCTGTATGCCGGCTCCCTCGGCCAGTAAAGCGAGATGAGCGCCGCAACCCCAGAGTCGGCCACGACTCCTTTTCACGTAATTTATACGTCAGTTTCTCCAGTTCCACATATTCCATTAGTTTCCCTTGCCGCAGTTTCTTTTGTCGGGATTTCTTCGTTCTTCCATCCATGTGCTATTAAGACTCTTGCCGCTGTTGTCGCATACGTAAATATGTTCTTCAATTTCCTTGGCAGGTCTTTTCCTACAATCCCTAACAAAAAATGCTTCATGGGGCTTATTCACTCTCCTACTCTTTAGCATTCAATCAGAGCAAACAGCAGTCGGGTTTTCTGCGGAAAACTGTTGCCGTTAGAGCTATATCGCAGGTTTTCTTTGGGAACAGAGCGCAACAAGGGGAAAACCGCTCTGACTTGTTCTTTCTAGCTATGGGACAAGCGGAGTTGGGGATTTGGGGACAAGGCCGTAGTTCAACTGTGCAATGCATGGAGAAGGACTTCCTTCCAGGTGTCCTGAATCTTCAAAGCTTCATGGGATATCTGCGAGTTCTAGCGTTACAAGAGATGGAGAAAAACCTTTCCATATCTTCTTCCATATCTTCTTTCTCATGAACTTTCCTCCTATTCCCTCCCTCCCTCCCATCCCTGCTCTGCACCTGGTCCTTATCATGCTTTGATTCTCACCGAACCCGTTTTTCCGGATTCTGCCAATGTTGAGGCAGAACCACCAGCCTTTGAACAAACTGGGTGACTTTCCTAAATGCAAATCCACCCCACAACCAACACCACAATTCCCCCCTCAAAGATACACTAGGAAGGGCAAGGAAGATCGTGGAGAGACGCTTGCAGAGGATGGTCCTCACCCATCCAACCAGTCCGCTAGGAGTCCATGAGGACAAGGCCCTGGAAAGGTCTTCTGTCCTCTCCTTGGTGGTGCCTGCCTCTTACCTTGAGACTCATCCGGAAGAACCAGAATGATGCCCTAGCTGGACTGTTGATGTGGACCAGACCAAGGGGAGCGAGCAACTCACATCTGCAGGGAAAGTTTGCAACGTTTGGGATTTTTCAGTCCCCAGAAAAGGCAAGAAAGAGGTGATGGGATTTATAAAATCAAACATGGCAGGGAGAAAGTAGACGGAGGGGGAGGTTTCCCTCCCTCCCGTGTAACTCTAGAACTTGTTGAATGCGGGAAGATTCACAACGGAGCAAAGGAAGCCTATCTTCAGGCAGCATGTGATTAATCTGTGGAACTCCCTCCCACAGGAAGCAGCAAGGGCCACCAACTAGGATGGCTTTGAAAGGAGATGCCCGGTGCTGGTAACACCCAAGTTGTGGGTTCGATCCTTATGCAGGCCACCAGCATATTCCTGCATTGCAAGGAGTTGGACTAGATGAACCCTGGGGTCATGATTCTGTGAAATTCATGGAGGAGGAGACGGCTGTCGACGGCTACTAGCCAGGATGGCTATGTTCTGCCTCCGTGGTTGCTGGAAACCCCAGGAGCGGAGATCCAAGCGGAGAACACAAGACCAGTGTTCGAATCCTACTCGCGGGTTTCCCACAGGCTTCTTGGTTGGCCACTGTGAGAACAGGATGCTGGACTAGGTGGGCCATTGGCCTGATCCTGCAGCCAGGCTCCTCCTAGAGCTCTGCAAACATGGAGAGAGGATTGCAGGAAAACGTCTGTCTGGTGTCGGTGGCGCAATTCTTCCAGTGTTGCTCAGAGCAGGGGCACAGAGGCTGCTGCCTTGCCAGTGAGTAGCAGACCCAGCCGAAGGCTGCCAGGCCCGAGGGCATCCTGTGCCACGTCTCCAGGCCCCCTTTACAAGCAGCCCATCTTCAAGCCGCACACCTATACTTTGCCGTTTGGCTGCCTTGCCCACGGCCTGCCTTTCTCCCTTCCCTGTGGTTACTGGCAGCGCTCTTCAGAAGTGAAGCCCACAACTGTAATTAAATGAAAAGGGCCATCATTTTGGATGTCGGGAACCTCTCCTGACACATGTCTTGGTTGCTGGGGTCGGTCGTGACGATGTGGAAAGGAGAGAAGGCAGGGACTTCTGCTCTGTGCAGCTCAGGGGGGGCTGGGAAGCGAAACCCAACCCATTGGACCTCATTGTTCTCAGGCCCAGTGTTTGGAGATGCCTGAGCGAAGCGCTGCCGCATGCAGAAGACCTCGAGATCAACCCCCAGAGTCTCTAGGCAGGACTGGGAAAAGACTAATCTAAAATCCCGGCTGGTGCACACAAAACTGGGCTAGAGAGGCCGACGGTCTGGCTCCCTATACAGCAACTCCCTCTGTTCCTGGTTGAACCCTTCATTCAAAACTATGAGGACTAGCATCTTAGCTCAGTGGTAGAGTCCTTGCCCTGCACGCAGAAGGACCCTGGTTCAATCCCCAGTGCCTGAAAACCCCGGAGAGGTGCTGCCGGCCTGTGTAGCCAAGGCTGGACTGAATAGATGGTCCCCTTCCACCTACTGAGATTCCTGCATTGCAGTGGGGTTGGACTAGATGAGCCTTGGGGTGCCTTCCGATGCTACAATTTTATGATTCTGTGACAGGCAGGGAGCCCGGAATGGCGCTCCCGTCGGCCCCTCTCGCAGCCAAAACCCAGGAAACGAAACTTGCCCCTTTGGAATCGCACTCAGAGCTTTGTGCCGGCCCCCGACGGCTGGCTGGCGTGAGGGAGGGAGAGCACAGGGCCAAGAACTTCGTATCAGCTGGTGGACATCTTCCAGCTGAAGAGGATAAAAGCAGGCTCCGTGCGAGGTGGATTCCAGAGGGCAAATCGCTTCGGGGGATTTTGCATTCCACCACTTCTCCGCTCTGGGCCTGGGGCTCATCAAAGAGGGCTTGAAAATCAGAGAATTGTAGAATCGGAAAGGACTCCGAGGATCCAACGCCCTGCAAGGCGGGAAGACCCAGCTGCCCCGTGCAAGGAGAGAAGCTTCTCCTGAATCGGTAAGGCTATGTGTCCTGTCTTGGTGTCCCCATACAAACTAGGCTCATCCTGACATCTGCTTCATCATTTCTTTTGCAGTATATCTGTGTCTTCCTTAGGTGTTTGAGCTGCTGCTCTGTAGGATTTCAGTGCAATGGGTTTCAGTGGAATGGACTCTCCTTCTTTGGAGGTTTGTAAACAGAGGTTGGGATGACCCTCTGTCCGGGGTCCAACTCCCCAGTTCCATGTTCCTACGATCTCTATGGACTTACTTCTGGCCGAACACGCCCAGTTCTGGACTGTACATCTCAGCTACGGGGCCGAGGTCTTGCAAAGCTCGCTCCAAAGTCCTGAGTCGCATTGGAGTCTCTGCGAAGCTCTCAGAAAGTCTGAGATGCCAGAACATATTTGGGATTTGAGGCTTAGGAACACCGGAAGCTGTCCTATACCAAGACAAACCACTGGTTAACCTAGGTCAGTATTGTGTGACACAGACTGGCAGCAGCTGTCTGGGGTTTAAGGCAGGGGCGCTTTTGCCAACCGGCCTGGAGACGCTGTGGCTCAAAACAGGCACCTTCTGCAGGCCAAGCAGGTGACCTACCACCGAGTCACCGCCCTTTCCCTAAATTGTGAATCTAATGAATCGTATGGCTTATGAATCTTATGGGAGGCAGTGTGGGGTAGTGGTTAGAGTCTTGGACTAGGACCTGGGAGACCAGGGTTCAGATGCCATCACTTGGCCATGAAGCTCATTGGGTGACCTTGGGCCTGCCACTGCCTCTCACCCTGACCAGCCTCACGGGGGATTAAATTGGGTTAGACCATGTATGCCATTGCACAAAATAAATAGATAAATAACAGGGAACATAGGAACCTTCAGCTGTGACCCCTGCAATGGGGCTGGAGTTTATGATTTGGCGATAGGAATCTGCCATTTACCAAGTCAGACCCTTGGCCCATCGATCTCAGCTTCGTCCAGACTGGCTGGCAGGGGCTCTCCAGGGTTTTGGAAAATGGGGGTCTCTCCTAGCCCTACTGGGATATGCCAGTGGCGGTTGAACCTGCTTGCAAAGCGGTGCTCTACCACTGAACTACGGCCTGGAAATTGGTGCCTGCCACCGACATGCCTGCTTTCTCCTTCTTGTCACCTCCCAGCTCGCTAGAGAGAGTCAATATTGACTTGCAGCCGAGCGATTCCTTGCCCTGTTCTGCAAAGAACCCGGATCTGCTGCATGCATCCCGCGCAGGACTGGCGAGCACAGAAATTTCCTTCGCCCGCCCGGCCCCATTGCCCGTTTTCCCTGCTGTGCTGCTGCTGCTGCTGCCTGGCTGCTGTGGGGTCTTCTCTTGCTCCCCCAAGGGCAGAGTTGGCCACACGGCTGGCCTTGATGGGTGACTAGGAGGAGGAGGAAGCAAAGGGCATGGCTTCAAGCTGCGCTGATTCATCATCCACATAAGACCATAAGAAGGGCCTCGCTGGATCTGGCGAAGGGCCCATCTAGTCCGGCATCCTGTTCTCACCATGGGAAACCCCTCAAGCAGGATCCGAGCTCAAGAGCAACTCTCCTCTCCTGGCATCTCCAGCAACTGGGAATCAGAGGCTGCCTTTGCTGCCTGCCGTTTGGAAGCCGCTGCTGGCGACAATTCATCACAGAGTTGGGGGGAAAAGGTTCAGGAAAGGGCCACCCAAACGATGGAGGGGATGGAGTAGCTCCCCTAAGAAGAAAGGTTGAAACATTTTAAGTTTAGAGAAAAGACGAGCACACACTTCGCTTTCCCCTGCCGCTTCCCTGCGGGGAAACTTGCTGCTCACCGCTGAATCCCAGCAAATGTCAACTGGGTTTTCTCAGAGGAAGGGGACAGAGAGACCTTTTTCTCCCTCTCGCTAGAACTTGGAGGCATCCCGTGACGCTGAATGTTGGAAGATTCAGGACATCTTCATGCAGCGCAGAATTAAACTGTGGAACTCCCTCCCACTGGAGACAGGGATGCCCACAAATCTGGATGGCTTTAAAAGAGGATTGGACAAATTCATGGAGGAGTAGAGGGTGATCAAAGGCCGCTACCCATGATAGCTGTTTTCTGTCTCCAAAAGTCAGAGGCAGCAAAGCCTTTACTGGAAACTGCAGGAATATGCAGCTGTCCCATACGGGGAGCGAACCTGCAACCCTGGCGCAATCAGCGCCATGCTCTGACCCATTACGAACGAGGGACGTCAACCTTTCTTGGACCAGCTTTGGAAAAAGGGCTTTTGAATCCCCTCCTGGGATGTCAGAAGGAATAAGTATTAAAAAAAGAAGAGCTGGGGTTTTTTAAAAGTGGTATTAGTAGGAAACCATCAATTTTAATTCCCTGCCAAGAGCGCATGGAGCGGTTTGTGCAGATTCCAGCAGCTGTTGCGAAGCGAGACGCAATTACCTGCGCAGGAAACAGATCAAGGTGCCAACACTTCGTCTCTCTAAGAGCATAAAAATAGCAGCCAAGTGTGGCACGACTGCGCTCGGTTTCTCTCTGGTGCTCCCAGGGACCTGTCACAGACTCTCTGTCTGCTGCTGAAAGCCATGTAACTTTGGAGTCAGAACTGCTCATCCAAGGCCTAAGAGCATCAGAAGAAGAGCCTGGCTCCTGGATCAGGCCCACGGGGGCTCCTCTCATCCAGAATCCTATTCCCACCGTGGTGAACCAGTTGCCCCAGAGGGAAGCCTGCATGCAAGATCTAACCACTAGTCAACATGGTCAAGCTCGGCCTCTGTACTTGCCGAAAACCAGTTTCTGGAAACCACAGGAGGGGAGAGATGCTTTCGCACTCGGGTACAGCCTCTGGCTTTCCCAAAGAGGTCCCCGGTTGGCCCCTCTGAGTACAAGGTGCCGAAGCAGATTCTTCTTCGGGTCGTCAGGTCACAGGGATGGCAACTGAACGGAGGAGCTTTCGGGACACTTGAACAGAAGTCGTTCTCCATGCAGCACCTCGTTAATCTGTGGAACTCCCTGCCACAGGAGACAGTGAAGGTCACTGACCTGGATGGCTTTGAAAGAGGATCACCAACAATAATAGATTGGCAAACACTCATGAGTGAGTATTTTCAGTTAGCAAAGCTGACTGGAAAAGTCAGGGGAGCCCTGAACCAAAAAGCATAACAGAGAACGGAAACTATTCAAGGAATATATAAGGATATATTGTAATAACGATATTATCCTAGCAGAATTGAATGATGCTTGTATATAATAAACAAATGAAACAAACAAACATCTTAGAAGAATAAATAGAAAATGTTATAAAACAAACTGTGCGATAAAATCATGACGACATAAAAAGTACAGTGAGAACGATAGGAAGTTTTTCTCAGAAGACTTTATTGGATAAGATATGATGCTGTATAAATAATTGGCTTTTTAAACTGATTTTCTTTTTGTTATTGTTAATTATTTTTATGTATTTTCTTTCTTTCTTTCTTTCTTTCTTTCTTTCTTTCTTTCTTTCTTTCTTTCTTTTCTTTTCTGTTCTTTTCGGGTTCAACTCTGCTGTACTCATCTGTAATGTATGATTGTATTTTAAATCAATAAAGACAATTTTTAAAAAAAGGAAAAGAAAGAAAGAGGATCAGACAGGGTCTTGGAGGAGGGAGCTATCAGTGGCTGTGTGAAGAGCTACTTTATTTTATCCGTCCTGGGTGTGGGGAGGGCGTCCATGCGCTCATGTCCACCGTGAGGAGAGCAGGGTGCTGGACTAAGATGGGCCTCCTTTGGCCTGATCCGTCGAGCACTTCTTATGTTCTCATGACCTGAGTGTGACAGCCCCGCTCTCCCTGCCTGAGATTCCTGGCAGTGCTGAATAGCCATCTTCAAATCCTGTATCTCAAAGGCTGATTTCTCCTGAACCAAAGGCTGCTGCTGTTATGATTGCAGCGGCGTCAGCGCGGAGAAGCAGGCAAGATATCCTCTTACCCTCTTTGGGATACTCCAGGCACTCGTTTCGATTTGAAAGCCATGTAATTGCCCTAAAGTGCACTTACGGGTTGACTTTACGTCAGAGGCTAAAAACGGCTCTCTCTTCCTTGCTCAGCGATGCCAGCTAAGTATTTCGGGAGGTCTGCGGTCCGCCTGTGATGACATGGCTAGCAGAGCTGCAATTTATCCCTCTCTTTCTCCCCCTCCCTGGCCCCTGTGTGGCAGCAAAAATAGTCGAGAGGTAGCCATGAGCTCTGTTTTTCCCAGTAGTGCTGTATGGAAGTGAGACCTGGACCACAAAGAAGGCTGATCGCCGAAGAATTGATGCTTTTGAATTCTGGTGCTGGAGGAGACTCTTGAGAGTCCCATGGACTGCAAGAAGATCAGACTGATCCATTCTGAAGGAAATCAGCCCTGAGTGCTCACTGGAAGGACAGATCCTGAAGTTGAGGCTCCAAGACTTTGGCCACCTCATGAGAAGAGAAGACTCCCCGGAAAAGACCCTGATGTTGGGAAAGATGGAGGGCACAAGGAGAAGGGGACGACAGAGGACGAGATGGTGGGACAGTGTTTTGAAGCTACCAGCATGAGTTTGATCAAATGGCAGGAGGCAGTGGAAGATAGGAGGGCCTGGCGTGCTCTGGTCCAGGGGGTCACGAAGAGTCGGAAACGACTAAACAACTAAACAAAAGCCACGAGACAGCCGGAAACACCAGCCCAATTTGCACCACCTGGATCGCACGGGAGGGTCTAGGCTTTTTCCATCTCGTCTCCTTCCCAATTCTTCACTCCTTTCTGCTCTAGTTTGGCTCCCTTTCCTCCACCCCCTGGAAATGGCTCATAGAAGAATCATAGAATTGTAGGGTTGGAAGGGACCCCCAGGGGTCATCTAGTCCAACCCCAGCAATGCAGGAATTTCAGCTAAAGCATCCCTGGCTGGTGGCCACCCAACCTCTGCTTAAAAACCTCCAAGGAAGGAGAGTCCACCACCTTCTGAGGGATTCTGGAAAAGAGGAGACTCGAGGAGATATGATAGCCATCTTCAGATATCTTAAGGGCTATCACATGAAGGATGGAACAAGCTTGTTTTCTGCTCTGGAGGGTAGAACTCGAACCAGGTCCTGCCCTGTGGAGCAGCAGGAAACAGGCTGGCACCATCTTCCATGTGACAGGTGATTTTTATCAGAGCAACCTCTGCCAACCTGGTGCAGAGGACGCCAGCACAGCCTGATGGGAGTTGTAGTCCAACGAATATCTGGAGGGCACCAAGTGGGCAGAGGTTCCTCCAGTAGAGGAAGCTGTCAAAGGTAAAAAGGAAAAGAAAAAGGACCCCTGGATGGTTAAGTCCAGACAAAGGCGACTATGGGGTTGCGGCGCTCATCTCGCTTTCAGGCCGAGGGAGCCGGCGTTTGTCCACAGGCAGCTTTCTAGGTCATGTGACCAGCAGGACTAAACACTTCTGCTGCAACGTAACACCGTTACGGAAACCAGAGCACACGGAAATGCCGTTTACTTTCCTGCTGTAGTGGTACCTGTTTATCTACTTGCACTGGTGTGCTTTCGAACTGCTAGGTTGGTAGGAGCTGGGGCAAAGCAACGGGAGCTCACTTTGTCACAGGGATTCGAGCCGCCGACCTTCCGATCAGCAAGCCCAAGAGGCTCAATGGTTTAGACCACAGCACCACCCATGTACCTATCAAGGTAAAGGTAAAAGGTAAAGGACCCCTGAATGGTTAAGTCCAGTCAAAGGCGACTATGGGGTTGCGGCGCCCATCTTGCTTTCAGGCTGAAGGAGCCGCCGTTTGTCCACAGACAGCTTTCCAGGTCATGTGGCCAGCATGACTAAACCACTTATGGCACAACTGAACACCATGATGGAAACCAGAGAGCACTTAAATGCCGTTTACCTTCCTGCCAGATTGGTACCTATTTATCTACTTGCACTGGTGTGCTTTCAAACTGCTAGGTTGGCAGGAGCTGGGACAGAACAGCAGGAGCTCACCCTGTCGCGGGGATTCGAACCGCCTACCTTCCGATCGGCAAGCCCAAGAGGCTTAGTGGAAGCCATTAAGTAGATGACCATGAGGTGCTGTGCTCTTTGTGGTGCTTAGTCGAACTTGTAAGAAGTTCTTCGGGATGCTTAGTTAATCCTACATCATGTGGGAACAGTTTTTGCGAACTTGGAAGCCAGTTTCCACTGGAAAATTTGATGACTATCTGAAAGAACTTGGCGCAGACTTTGCCACCAGGAAGATGGCTAATGTTGCCATGCCCAATGTGATCATCAGTCGCAATGGAGACGTTATAACCATCAAGAGACAGCAGTTTAAGGAACACTGAGATTTCCTTCAAAGGGGTGGCGGGGAGAGTTTGCTGAGACCACCACAGATGACAGGAGAGTAAAGAACGTTGTGGCGTTAGACAGTGGGACATTCGATCAGTTGCAGAAATGGGATGAGAAAAGAGATGGCAACAAAAAGACGAAGAGCAGATGGGAAGCTGGTTGTGGAGTGTGAAATGAACAACCTTATCTGCACCAGAAAGCATGAAGACAGACTCCTTTCCCTGTGTGGTTAATGGGACATGGAAACAGGAAAGTTAGCTGGTTCGGGGAGCAGAGCCCCACAAGACAGTCGTTTTCTCCAAAGAACTGAGACGGTATTGCTAGAAATACCGTATTCCCAAGAACTTGTATACAGTATCCAACCTAAAAGCATTGTGACTATTCAACAAAGTGCTTAATGAAAAATAATAAAAAATAATGTAAATAATAATAATAATAATAATTTATTATTTATACCCCGCCCATCTGGCTGGGTTTCCCTCAGTGGAACTCCCTGCCACCAGCTGGATGGCTTTAAAAGAGGATTGGACAAATTCATGGAGGAGGAGAGGGCTGTCCATGCCTCTTGCCCGCAATTGCTCTGCCCTGCCGCCACGGTCAGAGGCATCAATGCTTCCGAATGCCACTTGTTGGAAACCACAGCAGGAAAGAGTTGCTCTTGCGCACGGATCCTGCTTGGGGGTTCCCCACGGGGGCATCCGGTTGGCCACTGCAAGTACAGGATCCTGGACTAGATGGGCCACTGGCCTGATCCAGCAGGTTCTTATGTTCTCAATCGAGGGATTTATTGTAGTTTTACTCCATAAGACGCACCTGACCATAAGACGCACCTAATTTTTAGAGGAAGAAAGGGGGAAAGCCCCTTTTTTGAGGATCAGCTCAAAGTTGTTGAGCTTACTTTGCAAAGGGGGAAAATCCTGTTTTTATGGGGTTCAACTCACAGTTCTGCAGCTTCTTTAGGAAAGGAAAGGGAGCCGTTTCTACAGTTTCCAGGCAGATAATCTAATCAGCCAGTCCCATGTCGCTGGGGAAACAAACAGCCTCCGTCTGCAGAACATTCAAAAATGGAGGCCTGGGCAAGAGGCTGGAAAGGGAGCCAGCGATCGACCACGCATTCGCTCCATAAGACGCACAGACATTTCCCCTTACATTTTAGGAGGAAAAAGGTGCGTCTTATGGAGTAAAGAAATATGGTAATTTTCGAATGTGGGGTTTGTCGTCTTAAGGCTGCACTAAACCTTTGCTTTTCTAATCCACGAGCGTTTCAGTTGTGAGACTGAAGTCAGTACGGTGTCCTCCCAGCTTCTGCAAAATTCACTTTCCCCCTACAATTTGTGCGCGTGCTGGCAAGTCCGTGCCACGCAGCTGGCTCTGGTTAGGAGCGCAGCTGCTGTCTACCCACTGCAGAGAACAATCCTGTGCCGCTTAGTCCAGAAAAGTAAAATCTCCGGAGTGCACCTTTTGGTGCAGCAGGACCGTGTGTTTCCAAAAATATCTGGAAAAGAGGGAGATTTGTGCCTTCAAGGAGCTTAGCGTCCGGCTCAGTCAAGGAAGTGAAGAAATGTGTTGAATTGGAGTGACGAGGGCGTGCAGATGGCTTGCTGGAGCCAAAGCTGCGCACCTCTCCTTGGGGAGGGCAAGAGGCGCTGCAGGATCCGTGGCGTAATCTCTCCGTCTCCCGCGAAACAAGCGCAGGTTATCCCCAGATGAGTTTCAGGAGCCAGCCAGGAAAATAGAGGTTTGCTTTTATTCGGCGTAATGGCAGATAAGCTGTCGGGTGTTTTGAGCACGCATCGCGCCAATCGGTTCCTTGGCGGAGAGGAGAGCGGCTCGCTTTTTCCCGGGGATCAAAGGGAAGGCTTCCCAGATGAGATCAAATAGCAAAATGTAAATCAATGGAAATGTATTCCTGCTTCCTCGGCAGCCTAATTGGCACGGGGAAGCAGGGCCTGGCTTCAAAGGCAGCCGTGGGGACCCCTAGAGGCCTCGCTGCTGCGGAGACTGAGGGCAGGCAGGATGGCTGGGTCTCGAAAGCGGCCTAAGCGCCTGCTGGATCAGGCCAGCATCCTGTGGCCAACCCAGGGGAGCAGGATGCCAGGCTAGATGACACTGTTGTCTGACCCAGAGGGGCTTTTCTTACTTTTAGTTAACCACACATTTTATCTGACAGATTTTATCTTTGTGTGAAATCAAGAGGTGTCAAACTATGCCTGCTAAAAAAGGTAAAGGGACCCCTGACCATTAGGTCCACTTGTGGCCGACTGTGGGGTTGCGGCGCTCATCTCGCTTTATTGGCCGAGGGAGCCGGTGTACAGCTTCCGGGTCATGTGGCCAGCATGACTAAGCCGCTTCTGGCGAACCAGAGCAGTGCACGGAAACGCCATTTACCTTCCCGCTGGAGTGGTACCTATTTATCTACTTGCACTTTTTGGCATGCTTTTGGGAATGCACTGCAGAAGTTACATTTTTGATAATCTGAGGGTGACTGTGCTTGTAGCACTCAACTTCAGCTGTGCTCCCAGAAGCCCTGAGCAAACTGGGGGTGATGGGAGTTGTAGTTCAAAAGCATCTTGATTGCACCAGGTGAGGGAAGGCTGAGGTGCACCAAGGGAAATTGTGTGCCACTGTTGAAGTGAGACATCAGAGGGGAGTCCCCAGTCCTCTTCCAGTCCTACAGTTGCTTAGCACATCATGTCGGATAATAATAATAATAATAATAATAATAATAATAATAATTCAGTGGTGCTTTAGATCAGGGGTCAGAGGGCTGGTCCACTGTCCCTCAGACCTTGTGGGGTGCTGGACTATATTTTTTGGGGGGAAATGAATGAATTCCTATGCCCCACAAATAACCCAGAGATGCATTTTAAATAAAAGGACACATTCTACACATGTAAAAACATGCTGATTCCCGGACTGTCCACAGGCCGGATTTAGAAGGGGGTTGGGCCGGATCTGGCCCCCAGGCCTTAGTTTGCCTATGCAGATGCACTCTGTTCTTATAGGTACCAAAAGGGTTTTATTCTGTGTCATTAGATCTGCTCTCATAAAATCTATAGTGCTGCCACCTAGTGGATAATGCAGGGAAGCAGCTCAGAGACTTCTGGGAGCCTCAATGGTTTTCAACCAGTGTGCTGTGGCACCCTGGGGTGCCTTGAATGATGGTCAGGGGTGCTGCGGACAACACTGGCCTCTGTCCCGCTTTCCTTCCCTCCCTCTTCTGATGCCCTCTCATGACTCTGCCTCCCAAAGCCTTGCACAACTGTCTGTTGCAGCAGCCCTGCCTACAAGCTTTGCAGGCGAATGGTGCTTCTGGGGCAGGCCAGGGGGTCATTCCTAGGCCCCTGTGGGGCCGTGTGAGAAGGCACCTCTCTTTGGGGCAGAGTGGGGGGCAGTTCAGAGACCAGGGGCTGCAGGTGCGGCTGCCCAGAGGACTCCCAAGGAGAGGGGAGAGGAGAGGAGGCTGAGGGAACGCTCCACAAGGGAGGGTGCTCGAAAAGGGGTGAGGGGCTGCCAGCTCTGCAGGCAAGGGGGGACATAATTGGGGTCCTGAGCCCCACAGGGGTGCCGCAGAAGGAATGTAGTTGGTCGAGGGAGCCAGGGACTCAAGAAGGTTGGAAACCTCTGGCCTAATTAAAATTCTCTCTCTGTGTGTATATATCTGCGGAAAATGTTCAGATGGATTTTCTCCCATAAATTCTAAAGATTCGATGCCAAACAACGTTGATGTCAAACATTGCTTCTGTGTGTGCAAGACGTTTGGCACCAGCTTGGCAGCAGGAGTTGCCCGAAGGAAGCAGTACAGTGGCACCTCGGGTTACAGACACTTCAGGTTACAGACGCCGCTAACCCAGAAATAGTACCTTGGGTTAAGAACTTTGCTTCAGGATGAGAACAGAAATCGTGTGGTGGCGGCGCAGCAGAAGCAGGAGGCCCCATTAGCTAAAGTGGTGCTTCAGGTTAAGAACAGTTTCAGGTTACGAACGGACCTCCGGAACGAATTAAGTGCTTAACCCGAGGTACCACTGTATAAGGCGCCATCCAACCGCCTTAGGGACTCCACTCCAGATTTGTGTGGAGCAGGCATGTCCAAAGTCAGTTTCAGGGGCCTAATCCGGCCCGCCGGTCAGTTTAATCCAGCCCCTGTGGCAGTTTATTTCCTGGGGTAAAATCCTAAAAAAAAACCCTCAACAACTTCAATCCTAAAAAAGGTGAACAACTTCGGTTGGCCCTTTGGACGGCCCTCACAACGTTTCACTTCATCAAATCTGGCCCTCTTTGAAAAAAGTTTGGACACCTCTGTAGGTTTTCCTCCTGAGCCTTTCTTCTCCCGAAGTTATCCGCCCCGCCCCCACGCATACGGCTGACAATTTTCTGAGCATTCTCCAAGTATTTATATCCCCATTTCGCATCTTATGTCAATGGGTTTCAGTTGCTGATATTTCACAGTCAAGAGTCAACAGTCGCTCCTGGAGCCATATTGATGCTATTTTGGGGTGGGCCATCTGTCGGGGCCCCACCTGAGGAGGAGGTGGGGGGCATTTCAAGTTGGAGATAAGAAGGCAAACATCATATTATCAGCGCTTGCTTGGGAAGTTTCACTCAGCTGGGCTGGGATTGAACCAGCCCGCCAGAACCTGCCGCTGAGTCAGACCTCTTGGGGTTCTCCATGTATTTGCAGGATCCCTTTGTGGCGGCTGCCCATCCCTAGCGAAGACCGTGGGAAGGAAGCATCCATCCCATAACCATCCAGTGTGAGTGCTGACTGTCCTCAGTGGGACTTTGTTAAGTCTCAGATGGCTTAAAAAGAGGATTTGGCTAATTTGCGGAGAGGGCTATCGATGGCTACTAGCCAGGATGTCTACCCTCTGCCTCCGCAGTTGGAGGTGTTGTAAATAAAAATCTGCCCTTTTTCCCTTATGGGGTACCCAAGAGCCCATATAGAGTCCTTACGTAGGTTCCCTATAGGTAGGAGAAAATAACAACCAGAGAATATTGAGAAGCAAAGCAGCTAGTAAGCCTGATCTTTATCGATCTGTTGCAACAGGGAGCTCACTGCCACATGCAAGAGGCAGGAGAGACCCAAACAATGGCACATAAGCCCTTATATAGACATTTTAAATTGTCCGCCTTGGAGTCCAAGACCACCCCCAGAAACATCATACATACATCACAGAAGGGGTGTAACCTAAGACCACCCCCCAGATACATCATACCTACATCACAGAAAAGGTGGTCTACAGCAGAAATCTGAGTGACTTGTTTATCTCGTCTGACAGGTTTCCTGTTTAATGGTCACTTGATTGGATACCCTGGGGAGCCTGGCCAGTCTTTTGTAATGACAAATACTTAGTTCCTGAGCCAGGTCACAGGCTCACCCTATTCAAACACAGACAGACATACCCTTAAGACAGGTTTTGTGAATGAAACGACAATGGGGAGGCTCTTCCATTTTCCTTGACCTTGCAGAGAAAACATTTGGTCAGTTTGGGAATCAAAAATGGTTTCAGGTCGGTCTTCCTGTGCTGATCTATGTACGTGCTTGGTTGGTACATTTATGAACATTTAACATATATCTAAGACCTCAAAATTCCTATCACAGAGGCAGCTGTGTTTCAGAATCCCAGTTGCTGGAAACTGCAGGAGGGGAGAGGGGTCTTGTGTTCGAATCCTGCCTGCTGGTTTCCCATGGGAGAACCTGGTCGACCCCTGGGAGAAGAGGATGCTGGGATACTTGGGCCATTGGCCTGATCCAGCAGGCTCTTCTTATTACCTTAAAAGGGGCAAGAGGAGCCAGCCGGGGTGTAGGTCTGGACCTGGACCATAGAATCATAGAACTGTAGGAGAGACCCCAGGGGTCATCTAGTCCAACCCCCAAACCTGCAATGCATAGCAGGACGTCTGGTGCCTTTCCTGCTCCTTGCCCTGCCTTTGCACCCAGCCTTGTCAAACCCTCCCCTCAATACCTGACCCCCCCAGGCTTTTTTCAGTGCTGTTTGTGCCTCCCTCCCTTGTGCAAAAAGCGCTTCTCCAGTTCCACCTGGTGCAGTGGAAAAACGAGCCCCTGCGCCTTTGAAATGGGCACAATGGCAGGTCTCCGCAATTCATTCCCTTCACAAAAGGCCCCCTTGAAAGCCAAGCGCTGCTGTGGTCCCAGCCCGCCTGATGTTCTGCCCAGGAGGAGGAGTGGGGCACTTTGTGGGTATCGGTGTTGCGCATCAGGTTTCGGGGCTTCAGACCTTTCCGTTCCGTGGCTTCTTGGGTCGAGACGCAGCCTCCTTTGTTCGGCAGTCTTCTGGCGGGCGGGCAGCGAGAAACGACTCCGGGTGGCTGATGAAATATTTAGAGGCTCGGCTTGTAAGCCGGCAAAAATGATAGGCCTGATTAATAATGAGAGAGCTTGGAAATGGATCCACAGACCCACTTTGCCACAATTGCCGCCATCTGACAGGCAGTGTGCTTTTGCAAAAGGAGCCGTGTGTGTATTTGTGTGTTTGTGCTGGGGCTGCAGGGAGGAGAAAACGAGGGATGTTCAAAATTCTCATAATCTTCAGGTTTGGGTGCCTAAACTCCATTTTTGCAGCCTCATCCTGTTTGCTGAATATTCAGTGGGGAAGCGGGGCTCTGTCTTGGCCCTCAATTGCCCATTGATCTCTAAATTCCTGAAATAAACCAAACAAATCAATACAATCAAAAGCAGGGTTGCCGTATTTCAAAAGGTAAAAACCAGGACACCCCGAAAGTTGCTGAGGCAGCCCTAATCAAAAGAGCAGAAGTACAAAAAAAAGCAGCACACTATATCTGAGAGAGACTGAATATTATGGATGAGGAAGTACTTAAGGCCATTAAGGAAGTCAAGTTTCATGTTGCACTGGACGGAGAAAGGCCTGTGGGTCTAAATTTGTTGCACATGAGATAAAATCCCACCAAATATAGGGCGGCTGAGTGGGAGGAGGCAGGCAGACTCTGGAGGCACCGCCCCATGGGCAGCTCGCCCCACCCTCAGCCCGCGCCGCCCCAGGCGCCCGAGCGGCTTCCTCTGCCACTGTTTGATAACATGTAACTTATGAGTTATTTCCCCCCCAGCTAATGCTAAACTCCACATATTTTTCATAACAAAACAGAAGTTGCAAATCCTGCATTCATTTTGGGGGAATACAGTGGACGCTCGGGTTGCGAACGTGATCCGTGCAGCAGGCACGTTCGCAACCCGCAGCTGCGCGTCTGTGCACACGCGGATTGCAATTCGGCACTTCTGTGCACATGCAAAGCGCGATTTAGTGCTTCTGCGCATGCGCAGGCGCCGAAACGCGGAAGTAACCCATTCCGGTACTTCCGGATTTCGGCGGTCCGTAACCCGAAAAAACGCAACCTGAAGCGTCTGTAACCCGAGGTATGACTGTATGAGGTTTTGGCAGCTGAAACCTTTCATAACAAGCAAAGCTGCAATGAAGTTGGAATGGGGCGTTTTGAGGGATTTGGGTCATTTCTTGGCAAACCATTGCCCAGAATTTGAATCCTTGTGGTCAGTCCCGCCATAGGTGGGGGAAAGTGCCTATTTAAAAAAAAACAGTTCGGAGACCAGTTCAGGAAAGGGCTTTCTTTGCTAGAGCGTCCAGCCTGATGCCTCCCGCATGTGTTGCATCAGGAAGGTTTTGGGCATCGCAGGACAGTTTCGAAGATGCGCTCTCTTCAGCCCACATTCCCAGGCTATTCACACTGCTGTCTCAGCAATGTCTACACTGACTTGGTCATGTCCACAGAACAGAAGATGGCAGGGTCCCCGGGGATGTTCTCTACAGGGAGCTGGCTTCAGGTGCCAAGCCAGTTGGCAGACTAACTCTGCACTACGAAGATGTCTGCAAACATGCCATGAGGGCTGGCATCACCAACCTGCCCTGTGGGAATCCCTTGCGGACGACTGCAGTGCCTGGAGACAGTCAGGTTGTGCATCTCTAGCAGTGACCAGAGGAGGAATGACCTCTGGGAGGAGAGCCGAGAGGAGAAACGCCCGGGTGCATCTGCAACAGCACAACCGGACGCCTTCCTCTGCCCCAGCTGCAACAAAACATCTCTCTCCCCTATCGGTCTCTACAGCCACAGCAGGTGCTGCAGGTGTCCAACAGTGTGCCTTCACCCCCAAAGGAGCACTTCTCCACTGTCTCCCAAGACGGACAGATGCCAGCAAATTCTCTGCCGGCCGGTTCTTTGTTGGCAACCACAGAAAGGTGATTTCTTATCACCTGAAGCTGAACTTTGCATTTAATTTTTTTAAGTGTTGCATCTCTTCCAACCAATAGATAATACTTTACAGTTTGGCTTACATTGACTCTTTTTGCCTAGTTCTGCCTACAAAATCAGTCCCTGGTTTTGCTGAGTTAAAGACTGCCGTGTTTCTCTTTAAATCTGCTCTTTGCCTGCCTTGGGAAGCTCTGAGTTTCCTTTACAGTTTGAGACAGTTCTGGGTTACAAGCCAGACACTTGAAGGTGGAGGGTTCTTTTATCCCAGAATCCCAGGCGTGCAACCTGATAATCTCAGTGCCTGAGAGGGGCTTAGCTTGCAGTCTCCACTTTGGAGCTGAGTCTACAAGCCCACCTCATGGCTACAACATCCAGGTTTTTTTACATGCACAGACACACCCCCTGCACCCCCTGGCTTTGTGCAACATCTTGCCCAATCGAGATTTCTGGAGAACTCAGGAGCTTGCAAAACTCCTGCGGCATTTTGGTCGCTCTCAGAAAAGGTGCTGCCTCACACAGAAAGGATATTGCAGAATTGGAAAAGTTTCCGAAAAGAGCAACCCAAATGATTGAGGAGATGCAGCGATTTCCTCCCCTGTGAGGAAACTCCCCAACCAAGAAAGATTGCAGCGTTTGGGACTCTTTAGTTGAGAGAAACGTCGAGGAAGAGGTAACATGATAGAAGTTTATAAAATGATGCCTGGCCGAGAGAAAGTGTCTAGGGAGCAGTTTTTCTCCGTCTCTCATATCACTAGAACTCATGGACTCCAAGGAAGCTGAAGGTTGGAAGATTCAGGACGGGAAAAACAAAGCCCTTCTTCAGGCACATAATTAAGCTGTGGAACTCCTTGCCACAGGAGGCAGTGATGGCCACCAATGCAGCTGGCTTTGAAAAAGAATCAGACCAGGGGTCACCAAACCTTTTCAGCAGCGGGCTGGTCCACTGTCCCTCAGACCTTGTGGGGGGACGGACTATATTTTGGGGAAAGAAAAGAAAAAAAGAATGAATTCCTATGCCCCACAAATAACCCAGAGATGCATTTTAAATGAAAATAAAGTCAGGTCCCTGAAGATTTCCAGAGGGGTCACTGTGTTGCAGCAAAAGCCGTTTTTAATTCTCCACCAACAACACTGTTAAACAGTGGAACTCACTGCCACAGGAGGGGATGGTCACTGCCTGGGATGCTTTTAAAAGAGAATTCTGCAATTCATAGAGATTTGCCACAATGGCTATTCTCTCTGTCTCTACCTCGGAGGCAGCAGGGCTTCTGAATCCCAGTTTCTGGAAACCACCGGAGAGGAGAGAGCGGTTTCCCACGGGGGCACCTGGTTGGCCGAGTCCTCTTTGAAGAGGTGGGGGGGCAGATGAGGAGCTCTTTGCCCCCCTGACCCCGGAGCCAGGCTCTGCTTATCTCCTTAGGGTAGTCGGGTCACAGGGATGGCAATTGAATGGAGTAACATTCAGGACAGAGCAATGGAAATAGGTCCTTATGCGGCACATGGTTATCCTGTGGAACTCCCTGCCACAGGGGTGGCCACCAACCTAGATGGCTTTGAAAGAGGATCAGACAGATTCTGGGAGGAGGAGAGGGCTCTCCGTGGCTGCGTGAAGAAATTCTTTCTTTTATCTGCCCTGGATGTAGGGAGCGTGACTCGCACTCGTGTCCTGCTTGTGAGTTTCTGGAACAGGAAGTTGCACTAGATAACCCTCTGGTCTAGTCTGACCCAGCAGGGCTCTCCCTGCGCTTACTGAACAACAAGCTTTATCTCTGGGCGAAAGCAGAGACTGTGTTGAAATACGCCTCTGAGGAGGAAACAAAATTGCATTGCAGAAGTTAAATTTCTGATAATTTGAAAGCGCTTGAATTTCCTAACATTGCAGCACTTTGTAGAAATCTTTTGTCTGATCCGTGGTGCCTATTTGATTTTTCCGTTGAGAGCCCGTTTTAAATCTTTGAGTGTAATGTGTAGATATAATTAAAATTGGATCTTGTGTTGTGTTTGTGTGTGATGGGGGAGCTGAGGCTAATTGGGTCCCGCTTTCGAATCTTGCAAATGGCTCTTCTTACAAGAGGGAGCTTCCCTCTGTGAAGCTGCAAATTTCATTTCTTCCTTCGTATTTCCTTAGCCTGCCTTTTGGCCATGCAAGCACCCCACCCCAAGCAGCAAACAATAATTAAGATAAGGTTCACATCAACAGTATAAAATGATGTCATGTGCAATAGCTGTAAATCAGAATTTGCATTGTTTTGTTTACATGAAAGCTTTTTAGCTCAAGACGTTTGGAGAGGAATGTAATTTCCCCAATTAAGGAATGAAAAAGCAAATTATATGAATATGCAATTATGGATAAATTACGCTGTAACTAAAGGAAGAAGACATAATCCGTTACTGTGATAATTGGCTTTGGCTTATTAAATTATTGGAACAACGATGAAGGGGAGCGTTTCAACTTGTTGACAGTGAGGCTGCAATCCTGGCTAATTTACTTGAGAGTAAGTTCCATTGCTCTTGGGGGGACTTACTTCTGAGTAGCCGTGTGCAGGATTGTGTAGGCTTGCACTGTTATCATGGTCACAGAAATAACTGAAGTGTGCCGATAATCATCTATAAACATTGTGATTAGGGTGGGATTAGTTGATGTATATTTCCAGATGTTTCTCTTACGCAGTTTTAAAAATTCTCCTAACTTTCTTCAACAAGGCCTCTGAGGCAACTTTATTGAGATGTTGAAATGCAGATTTATTTAAACGTTGGCAGTTGGTTATTTGGAGGGGAGATTTTTCTGCAAAAGGATGCTGCAAACTTTGGCAGCTCTGAAACACTTCTTTCAAAATGGGACTTTCAGGCATTTCAGCTCTGAGACAGGAAACACTTTTCAAGGGGCGTTATGTGTCTCATTAATACGGGGATCTTTCTTCCCCATTTACAAATAATAAAGATTTTAAAGATTTAGAAAAACAAGAGCATTCACCAGCAGACTGAGAAGAAAGGTTCTGCGTAGGCACTGAGTGACCATGTGCTTCGATATTTGTGTAAGAAATAAAACCGTGCCATATATATTTATGGGTGGGTGGGTGTCGTTTGAGCTCTGCCCTTTGACTGCTGCTGGCTCATGAAATATCTTCTCAAGACGGGTTGTTCCCAGGTCTGTGTTCTATGAAGACCACCCCCCTCCACCAGTTGACATACCTTCTCCCAACAGGCTGTGCACATGTAGTCGGAGACTATGCCCGCATTGAAAATGCCTCTGCTCTTCCCTTTTCAGCCCACTCCTGGTTCTGGGAGACAGCAATGCAAGAGAGGAGAGGAAGCACTTGGCGCTTCACTTGCCTGGCCTGCCTCTTCCTCCTCTTCTTCCTCATCCTCCAGCTCATCCCTCCAACTCCAAAACTTCCCCTGCCTCTGACTCCTGTCTCCTGGCTGGCACAGTTCCCCACAAATCACTGCCCCCCTCTCCTGAGTAAGACTCAAGCCCCTCTGCCCCCGGTGCACACTTGCCAGCGAATACCCTCCAACATTTCTCTGGTGAAAATAGGGATGTCCTATTCAACAACAACAACAGTTTTGCAATTTTTACCACACTCAACTGACTGAGTTGTCCTAGCCACTCTAGGCGGCTTCCAACATATATCAAAACATAATAAAACATTAAAAAACTTTCCTATAAAGGGCTGCCTTCAGACGGTTCAGGGTTTGAATAACTCCATCCCCTCCAACATTTCTACTGTGAAAATCAGGACGTCCTATTCCATCCCCTCCAACATTTCTCCCATTAAAATAGGGACGTCCTAAGGAAAAGTGGGGCACTCTGGGGTCAAATAAAAAACCGGGACGGCTTCTGTAAATCCTGGACAGTCTTTGGAAAATAGGGGCATTTGGGGGGTCTTCCAGTATCCGGCCCGGTCCCTGACATCTAGGGTTGGGAAAGAGACCCCCTGCCTGAAACTCTGAAGAGCCTCTTCCGGTCAGTGTTGACCACACTGAGCCAGGTGGCCCGATGGCTCCGACTCCGTAAAAAGCATCTTCCTACATGGCCCAAGAATCACAGTTTCCCCACTCCAGTTTGAAAGGGATCCTGCGGACATTAGTGCCGGCGTTTGGGCTGCTGTTGGGTTTCTGACGCCCTGTTTCTCTCCAGTGCAGGATAGAGTGCAAGGATGTTGCGGCAGAAACCCTCTATGACGTCCTGCACGACATCGAATACAGGAAAAAGTGGGACACAAACGTCATTGAGACCTTCGACATCGGCAAACTGACGGTCAACGCCGACGTGGGATACTACTCCTGTGAGACGCTGGGGGAGTTTGTGCGGGCGGCTCTTGTCTAAGGCAGCCTCTGCCAAAGAGGGGCGTTCCAGATGTTTGGAACGGCAGCTTCTGTCGGCTGAGGCTCTTGGGCGCTGCGGCCCAAATCATCTGGGGGTCCCAGATTTGGAAAGGCAGGCTGCCACCAGTTGCCGTTATTTTGAGCCATCAGTTGCCTGGATGTTTTTGCCCAGATGTTTTGGCCTTCCCCAAAACAGCCCAGCTGTGCTGGCTGGGGTTGTTGGGGGATGCAGCCCCAAACGTCTGGAGGGTGCCAGGTCAGCAGAGCCAAATCTAGGGGTCCCTCCTGAAACTGCAGCCGTGTTCAGGTCGACCCCGGAGGAGAGGGCTGTTGATGACTTACTAGCTAGCAGCCTCTTCTGTTCTGTCTCAGGGGTCCCTCCCACACCTTTGAGGTGATGCTGACAGCCACCTAAGGAAGCTTCGCATACTCAGAGGGCACTGGATTCTGGATCATGGCCTTATGGCTGCAGTGCCTCCGCCAGCACATCACCCTTAAGGCACGGGGCATTTAACTTTACTCTTCGGTGACAACATCAAACGTCAGGGGTGCCCAATGACGTCTGCCCTTTATGCTGCAGCAATCCATAGGAGCCAACTCCTAGGGGCCCTGGGGGCTTTGCCCCCCCTAAAATATTTGAGGGGGCTGGGCTATGGTTACCAGATTTTTTTCAATGAATCCGGGGACACTTTTTTTCTTTGAAGCTGAGTAGCAACAGGGAGTCAGTAGTGGGGATGGTGAGGCAAAAGACCCTGGGCCCAAGCACACATGCATGTTGTATAAAGGTGCAAAGCCCTTCTTTTGCACCCTGTGAAACATAAATGTGCAGAGTTTTTTAAAAACTGGGCAACGGCCGCCCGCCTGCAACTCCCGAGCCTCCCCCGGTCAGTCAAAGCAAAGGGGGCAGGAGATCTGTACCGCTGGACGTCCCCGGTTCCCCTTTGGCAGTGGCACTGAGCAGCCTGGAGCCAGCTTGGTAGCGCAGTTGGCTCTGGCTGGCTTCAGGAGCTGCTCGCTGCCCACTGCTGTGGCGCCCGCCATTTTTCCTCACCAGAAGTTCCGGCAAGGAAAAATGGAAGGCGCCACAGCAGCGAGCAGCGAGCAGCTCCTGAAGCCAGCCAGAGCTGAGGCTGCCGCTGCCACGTTTTCCAGGGACAGATTTGCAAATCTGGGGACTGTCCCTGGGAACTGGGGACATCTGGTAACCCTAGGCTGGGCCCCCACATTGTTCAAATGGTGTGTGTGCACTGCGTCGTGATTGATTATGTGGGGTGGGACTGACCCTGGGCCCCCTCAATATTTTATTCAAGTTGGCCCCCCAGCAGCAAACTAACCTGGAAGCTTCCCCTGCAAGTTTAACTTGCATGCATTCAGACACACTTTGGAAACTCCCTGCCTAGTGAAATCCTCCGGGCTCCTTCCCTGCATTTTTTTTGGCATGTGCTAAAGGCATTCTCCCTTGGGCAAGCCTGTCTAGAAGTTTAGAATGCTGGTGTGTTTTTAGTTTATCGCTGTGATGTTCTTGTCGTTTTATAGAAAAAGAGTGCTTTATTTGTTTTTAGTTATAACCTTGATGCTTTTTTCCTGCCATAAGCCGCTTTGAGGGTTTTTTCTCTACACAACTGAGAGGCATATAATTTTTTGGTGTGGAGTTATAAATACACAATAGATTTGCTGCAGGAGAGGGGTGAGAGTTGTTAGTTGCAGGCCAGGATGTCTGTTTGCTTCTCCTGAGATGACCTTCCCTCTCCTCTCCCCCCGCTTTTTGGCAGGGAAATGCCCCAAACCCTTGAAGAACCGAGACGTCATCACCTTGCGCTCCTGGCTCCCCATGGGCAACGACTTCATCATCATGAACTACTCCGTCAAACATCCCGTGAGCGACAGGCTTTTTCTGGAGAGGGGGGAGCAAGGAGGAGGGGTGTGCATGGACGATGTTCCGTACACAGACGCGGGTGATCTAAACCACTGAGCCTCTTGGGCTTGCCGATCAGAAGGTCGGCAGTTCGAATCCCCACGACGAAGTGAGCTCCCATTGCTCTGTCCTGGCTCCTGCCAACTTAGCAGTTCGAAAGCAGGGCAGGGCAAGTAAATAAGTAGGTACTGCTGCAGCAGGAATCTAAAAGGCATTTCCATGCGCTCTGGTTTCCATCACAGTGTCCTGTTGTGGCAGAAGCAGTTCAGTCCTGCTGCCCACATGACCCAGAAAGCTGTCTGTGGACAAACGCTGGCTCCCTTGGGCTGAAAGCGAGATGAGCGCCGAAACCCCAGAGTTGACTTTGACTGGACTTAACTGTCCAGGGGTCCTTTACCTTTTACCTTTACCTTGATAGGGACATGGGTGGTACTGTGGTCTAAACTACTGAGTCTCTTGGGCTCGCCGATCGGAAGGTCGGCGGTTCAAATCTCCGTGACGGAGTGAGCTCCTGTTGCTCTGACCCTGCTCCTGCCAGCCTAGCAGTTCGAAAGCACATCAAAGTGCAAGTAGATAAATAGGTACCGCTCCAGCGGGAAGGTAAACGGAATTGCACCAAAAGCGGTTTAGTCCTGCTGGCCACAGAACCTGGAAACGCCATCTCCCTCGGCCTGAAAGCAAGATGATGATGATAATAATAATAATAATAATAATAATAATAATTTTTTATTTATACCCCGCTCATCTGGCTGAGTTTCCCCAGCCACTCTGGGTGGCTTCCAATCAAGTGTTAAAAGCAATACAGCATTAAATATTAAAAACTAAGATAGCTGCTTAAAGAGAAGATGAGCGCAGCAATCCCAGAGTCGCCTTTGACTGGACTTAACCATCCAGGGGTCCCTTACCTTTTACACATGTGCTAGAGTTTTAGGTGCTGCAGAAATTCTGGGCTTGAGCTTGCAGCAAGTGGCATGCCTGTTATAGGAAAAACTAAACAGGAAGGATTGCCCTTTGGGATGCTTTAATACTGGGGTCCTGTACGGGGCACCCCAGGGGCACCATGGTGCCATAAGACCCCCCCCCCCGGTATCTGCAAAGGGCCTTTCCCCCATTGTTATTTGTTAGAGCAGTTGCCTGTGGGTGGGTGGGTGGGTGGGGTTTTTGGGGAGGGAGACCTTGCTTTTTGGTCTGTTTTATTTTCTTTGGGTCTCAGCGTTTCGACCATTTTGGGGTGGGGGAGTTCTGAGCGTTGCCAGGGTTTCTTCTGTGAAATGGGCATTTTGGGGTGCCCATGACTCTTCCTTAAATTTCCACGTGTGCCCCCAGCCCTCAAAAAAGGTTGGGTGTTCCTAAATTAATATAATGTAATTCCATTTTTTACCCTGACCCTCCAGTGGACCCCTTAAAAACCTGCAAACAGAAACGAAGAACCAAATGAGGAAATTCAGGGGGTTTCAGGGAATGTCTGGAGGAGATTCTGCTCTGAAGACACCGAGAGACAGAAGTTGGGTCCTCTCAGCCAGAGCCTTTTCCCCAATGACATTTTCTCACCATCACCTGCCCTCTCCCAAATAGACAGACCGTTCTTTTGGGATGGTTATTATAAAATGTTTAAAATGTAAGTCTGCAGTTCAGAAGCGGGCACCTCATTTAAAAAGCTAAACACAGTTCTGGATCCCAGACCATGATATCATATACCTGTAAATAATACCTTGCCCAGAACCACAACTTTGCTGTGGGCAGTTTTTTTAAATGTCCAAACAGAGCATCTCTAACCTGGCAGTCTACACCTCCCAGGAGCCCCAGACAACACAGTTGTGTTTTTTCTAAGCTGTGAGCTGTTTTGCACCAGCAGATCAGAGTGAAAACGGCACCATGTTATATTGAATCAGGAGCCCTTTTTGATGTCCTGTTGGGGAGGCACGTGTGGAAATGTAAGGAACTCTTGTGGGCGACACAAAACATCCATTTCACCTCCCCGGGGTGCAAGCCCAGGCAGTATGCATGGAGGTCCTGGGCTGCGCAGATGGCCTTGCTGATGTGGTCCACCATCCAACCGCCTTAGGGATCCCACTCTGCATTTGTGTAGGATTTCCTCCTTTCTCCTTTTCTTCTCCCAAAGATACCCCAGAAGGCAGCAGAGTTTTAGGACCAGTGTTTTCCTTCTCCAGGATGAGCTCCCTTCTTCTTCACCCTTCGACCCCCTCTTGGTCTGGTCCGTTCCATCCATCGGATCCTGTTTTTGGGAAACCAGGGAGAAAAACATGAGAGCAAGAGTCCTCTTGCCTCCCATGGTTTCCAGCAATGGGGATTCCCCCACCCTCAACACCCCACACAACTCCCACAGGGAGGTCTAATATAATAATAATAATTTATTATTTATACCCCGCCCATCTGGCTGGCTTTCCCCAGCCACTCTGGGCGGCTTCCAACAGAACACTAAAAACAGAATAAAAAATCAAACATTAAAAGCTTCCCTAAACAGGGCTGCCTTCAGATGTCTTCTAAAAGTCAGGTAGATGTTTATTTCCTTGACATCTGGTGGGAGGGCATTCCACAGGGCGGGTGCCACCACCGAGAAGGCCCTCTGCTTGGTTCCGTGTAGCTTTGCTTCTCGCAGGGAGGGAACCGCCAGAAGGCCCTCGGCGCTGGACCTCAGTGTCCAGGCTGAACGAAGGGGGTGGAGATGCTCCTTCAGGTATACTGGACCGAGGCTGTTTAGGGCTTTCAAGGTCAGCACCAACAACAGCCCCCCCCCAAGAAGCACATCTTTCCCCTAAATTAACTCCAGATCTGGAGAGAGGAGGGAGCTCCTTTCTGGCAGTTTGGGAGCTGCAAGGATGGTCGTCCTGGCTGGCTTATGGCAGAATTTCAGTTTCACCTGTCTTTCTGTTTTGTTTTTTGCCTTCCCCAGAAATACCCTCCTAGGAAAGACATGGTGAGGGCCGTCTCCATTAAAACTGGTTACCTGATCCAGGGGAAAGGAGAAAAGAACTGCAGCCTCACTTACCTGGCCCAGGTAGACCCCAAAGGTAAGGTCCATGAAGAGCCACAATTTCTTGGGCGGTGGTGTCAGTGTCCTGGCTCACGATGAACAGTGACACAACTTCTTATTTTAAAATATTGCTCGTCCAAGCTTCTTCCTTGCTCCCGGACAATAAAGTTGGATAAAAATCATAGAGTTCTTTCTCTCTGCAAGAACGCACACGCATGCATAAGAAAATGAGAACAGGCTGCTGGATGAGGCCCACGGCCCATCTAGTCCAGCAGCCTGTTCTCAAGGGGTGGATCGGATGCTTGTGGGAAATAATAAATAATCATAATCATAATAAATTTTTTATTTATACCCCGCCCTTCCCGGTTCAAAAACCAGGCTCAGGGCGGCTAACAACAAATTTAAAACACTTTAAAACACTTAATTATAAAAGCAGCATAAAATACAGTATAAAAACATGAATAACAATAAAATTCAAAATTCAATTAGATAATCCCCAGGGCTAGCTGGCTGAATTGGTCCTACTTGGGCCATTGAGGAGGCCAGGGGAGAATTAGCTGTGGGGTCTCAGAGCGGGTGATCTTCATAAAAGGGGAGGGGGAGGGAAGAGAAGGGAAATAAAAGATCAGGCTGAATTCGAATTAAAGGCCAGGCGGAATAGCTCTGTCTTACAGAGGTTAGGAGGTTAAATCCTGCAGGGCCCTGGCCTCATGGGACAGAGTATTCCACCAGGTCGGAGCCATCACTGAGAAGGCCCTGGCCCTGGTGGAGGATAGTCTGACTTCCTTAGGGCCTGGGACCTCTAAACTATGGTTATTCATGGACCTTAAGGTCCTCTGCGGGGCATAGCAAGGAGAACCTGAACGCAAGAGCAACTCTCCCCTCCTTTGGTTTCCAGCAACTGGGATTCAGGGCTCAGCCACACTTAGCTTTGCTCTCATTTCCAGGCACAGGTGCAATCTTTCTAGGTCTGCTGCGTTCGAGCAAATATTTGTCCCCACACCTTTCTCTGCAAAAAAACCCTGCTGTTTACTCCTGAATTGGCAATCTGCGGGAAACCCAAATTGCTGTTGGTTCTGATTCAGGGTAAATATTGGGTTTTCCTGGGGAAAGCAGCAGAAAGGGAAAAAAGCGCTTGGATACGGACTGGGAAAATGCAGACCTGAAAAGGGTGGGATGAATGGTAAGTGTAAATGAACCCTCTGATACTCTGCTTCCTCTGATTTTGGATGAATTCTCCTCCATGAATTTGTCCAACTCTCTTTTAAAGCCATCCACGTTAGTGGTCATCACAGCTGTCAACGTTTCTGTTATGTACTGAGTTGAATAGGATCCAAAAGGCAGCAGTCTGATTGGTCCTAGAACAATAGGATTCGGAATGCAGCAGTCTGATTGGTCCACAGGAGCCACCCAATCCAGCTCCAGGTGGAAGTGAATCCGCAACCTGATTGGCCTACAGGAGAATCCCGGAATTAGCCAATCACGTGCAGCCCATTGTGTAAATAATGTATATAAGGCAGACATTCTGGGGGAACTTCCATTCCTCCTCACCACTATGAGCTGAATAAAGAGCATGAAATCCACTCTCGACTCCAAGTATATTTCAGTTTGCTTTTTTAAAAGGGAAATTCCCTTATTCTGAATAGGATTCCTTGCAGGAAAAGGGAAAAGTTGACAGCTATGGTGGCCATCAGTGCCTCCACATGTTTGACTATGTGCTGCGTGAAAAAGTCCTTTTTTAATTCTGTCCCGAATCTCCCATCAATGGATGCAATTGATAAAAGCTCCAATTTTATGCAAGAAATGTTGCATAATTTATGGTCAGGGTTTAGGGATGGTTGTTGCAGAATTATTCAGGCTATTTTTAGCAAAGCAGGGAGAGGAGGAAGCGGAGCCAGCAGAGCCACATTCTCTGCAGTCTCAGCCACCCATTAAATCCTCTCCTCTCCAGCTTTGCCCCTAATCAGCCGTGTCTGAGCCCATAAAGGCCCTTCTCTAGTTCTGACCTTGGAGTCCGTCCAGGCTGCCAAGAGAACGGCGTCTCTGCAACGGAGCCCCTGTGCCGTTCGGCAGCGCGGAATTTGCTAAGCGCCGGCGATTGACGCGGGGAGTTTGCAGGCACTAAAGCTGGGCAGATTTGGGAGTTATCCTTTTTTTAGTCCTTTAAGCACAAACTCCAGCTGTGCAGAGGATTTCTGCCAGCTTTGGAGAAGATGAATCTTTGGGAAAGGTGAAGGACACTGAGGACCATAAGAACAGAAGCAGAGCCTGCGGCTGGATCAAGCCAATGGCCCTTCTCGTCCAGTATCCTGTACTCACTGTGGCCAATCAGATGCCCTAAAGGGAAACCGACAGGATTCGAACACAAGACCCCTCTTCCCTCCTGCAGTTTTCAGCAACTGGCATTCAGAAACATCGCCGCCTCTAACTGTGGAAGCAGATCACAGCCATTCTGGCTAGTAGCCTTCGATAGCCCTCTCCTCCTCCTCCTCCTGAATTTGCCTAATCGCCTGGAGAAGAAGAGACATTTAAGAGGCGATATGAGAGCCACCTTCCAATACAGTGGACGCTCGGGTTGTGAACATGATCTGTGATACCTCGGGTTACAGACGCTTCAGGTTACATATGCTTCAGGTTACAGACTCCGCTAACCCAGAAATAGTACCTCGGATTAAGAACTTTGCTTCAGGATGAGAACAGAAATCGTGCTCCGGCAGTGCGGTGGCAGCGGGAGGCCCCATTAGCTAAAGTGGTGCTTCAGGTTAAGAACCATTTCAGGTTAAGAACGGACCTCCGGAACGAATTAAGTTCTTAACCCGAGGTACCACTGTATCTGGAGGGCTGCCACATAGATGCTGATGGAGACAATCCATTTTCCTTTGCTGCAGGCTCAGAATGTAGGACCTACACGGGCAGGTTCAAATCACAGTGAGTTACTTAGGCAGAGGCGTACCTGGGGGTTGGAGAAACCAGCCTCTGCCAGGTGTGCATGCAAAAATCACCTATCATCGGGGCTTTTTTCCAGCTGGAACTCGCCATAACTGAGATCCAGCCGCTCTCGGGTGGATGCCATTGTCATTCTAAGACAGGCACCCCCAAACTCAGCCCTCCAGATGTTTTGGGACTACAACTCCCATCACCCCTAGCTAACAGGAGCAGTGATCAGGGATGATGGGAACTGTAGTCCCAAAAAACGTCTGGAAGGCCAAGTTTGGGGGTGCCTGTTCTAAGAGAACAAGGGAGGCGTTGGTGGCGAGTTCTCTGGAAAAATATCACTGCCTATCGTAGTATGGAATGTATGGCATATCCTTGTGTGTGTGTGTCGATGCAATGAGGCAAGATCAAATGAAGGAGGAGCTTCCTGTCCTTCTTGCACTGTGGCACAAAGGTGATTTGGGGTGGGTGGGTGTGCGCGCACCAATACCGCTCCTTGCCAGGGGCGCAAGGGACCCTCAATACGCCTCTTTATTTTAGGAAGACCCTCCTTGTCCGTCAAGCAGCTTGGCTCGTCTTATGTTCTTTTGCTTCGGGGCTTCCCATCATGGTCATCTGTTAATAATAATAATAATAATAATAATAATAATTATTATTATTATTCCCCAGCCACTCTGGGTGGCTCTGCATTGAGTGTTAAAAACAATACAGCATTAAATATTAGAAGCTTCTCTGAACAGGGCTGCCTTCAGATGTCTTCTAAAAGTCTGGTAGTTGTTCTCTTTGACATCTGGTGGGAGGGCGTTCCACAGTGCTGGTGCCACTACCAAGAAGGCCCTCTGCCTGGTTCCCTGTAACCTCACTTCTCCCAATGAGGGAACCGCCAGAAGGCTCTCGGCGCTGGACCTCCGTGTCCGGGCTGGACGATGGGGGTGGAGACGCTCCTTCAGATATACAGGACCAAGGCCGTTTAGGGCTTTCAAGGTCAGCACCAACACATTGAATTGTGCCGGGAAACGTACTGGGAGCCAATGTAGGTCTTTCAAGACGGGTGTTATGTGGTCCTGGCGGCCGCTCCCAGTCCCCAGTCTAGCTGCTGCATTCTGGATTAATTGCAGTTTCCGGGGCACCTTCAAAGGTAGCCCCACGCAGAGCGCATTGCAGTAGTCCAAGCGGGAGATAAGTGTTTGGTCACTGTGGGGCCAGGACTCTAGATTAGACGGGCCGCTAGCCAGACCCATCATCCCAGGCCCTCCCATCCCCTCCAACATTTCTCCGGGGGGAAAAGGGACGTCCTATTCCATTCCCCTCCAACGTTTCCCTGGTGAAGAGAAAGCGGGACATTCCAGGATCAAATCAGAAACCGGGACGGCTTCCGTAATTCTGGGACTGTCCCTGGAAAATCAGGACACTTGGAGGGTCTGCTCTGCCATTCATAGAACCACAGAACTGTAGAGTCAGAAGGGGTCCCATGTAGTCATCTAGTCCAACCCCCTGCAATGCAGGAATCCCGACTAAATAATCCTTGACAGATGCCCATCCATCTTCTGCTTAAAAACCTCCAAGGACGGAGAGTCATTGTTCCAGATATTTTGGAAGGGTGCAGAAAAACCATCATAGGAGATTTGGGGGCAAGGTGCCCATTGCTTTGGGATTTTGGTTTGCAAGCCTGGGGTTGAAAATCACATACCGTATTTCTCTGTGTATAACACGCCCCCTGTTTTTTGGGACTCCAAATTGAGAAATGGAGGGAGGGGTGTTGTTGAGCTTTTTGGGGGGTGGTTGCCGAAAATTGCTCACCCACAAGACCACCACAGCCAATCGCACACACGTCAACCAATCCTGCAGGTTCGCCAAAAGCAAGCACCAATTGGTCACCCATTTGCAGCAGCAGAAAATCGCCAGTGGACCTTGCCGCACCTGCCAATCACAAGAAAATACGCTGATGACAATCTCCCGATCACAGCAGCCGCCAATACCCCATCCTGCCTCTCCACTATCCGTGTCTAATACGACCCCAAAAATTTACCATACTTTTTTTGTAAAGTAACCTCGTCTTATACACGGAAAAATACGGTATGTAGGGGCCAAGACGCCAGGGACTGTGTTTCCTTCCCGCCAGCATTTTGTACACCTTTTTCGGGTGGGTGTTTTCTTCTCCTTGGGGTACGGGGCTGTGTCGCACTCTAAAAACTCTTCTCCCCTCCTCAGGTTCTTTGCCAAAGTGGGTGGTGAACAAGTCCTCGCAGTTTCTCGCTCCAAAAGTAAGTCAAGAAAACCGTCCCTCCTTCCTCTGCCTCTTTCGTCCCGCCAACCGGCTGCCCGTTGTCCGTGTTTCCCTTTACTTGCCAGCCTCATCCTCAGGCTCTCCATGGAAACAATAAGTGTGTGGACTGTTGCTGGTGACGCAGAGGAAAAACATGTTTCCTGGGGGATCACAAATGGGGCTACACAGGACCCCCAAAGGATCTGGCAGAGCCCCTTTGGCTAAACTCATTTTCTGCATGTGAGACAAACGGGTTATTTATTATTTTATGCCTTTTTTATCTTGCCTTTTTCTCCATGGTTCTCCCCCCCCCCTCCTATTTAGTTCCCACAACAACCCTGTGAGGGAGACAGGGACTGGCTCAGTGAGCTCCATGGCCAGTTGGGGATTCGAACCCTGGTCTCTCCTAGGCCAGAGGCCAATGCTCCAACCGCTACACCCTACTGCCTCTCTCATATTATTCGGGATCCATCTTGAAAAACTTTTGCAAAAAGGTTCGATAACGTTTGGCCTTTATTGAGCCTCCTTTCTGATTTGCTTGTTGGCTGTTTACACTTGGTCACATTCCAAATCCGTTCCTAATTTTCTCAGTCACTTCCCTAACTGCAAAAAAATAAAAATAAAATCCATTTATTTTTCTGTGCCTGGGAAACAAGAGTCTTTCATGGTGCAAACCCATGGTTCCTGTGATGCGCTTGGGCTTCTCCCTCAAAACACTGGCATTCTCGAGGCGCCTCGAAATGAGCCAGTATGGTATAGTGGTTAGAGGACTTTGGAAAGACCACAGTTCGAATCCTCCCACTTGACTGTGGTTCTCAGTGGCTGGACCTTGACTCAGTCTCTGCCTTCTCTCAGGGCTGCTTTGGGGATTAAATGAAGGGGAGAGCTATGTCCGTCAGTTCCTCTGAGAGAAAAGGCAGGCTATAAACGCCATGCCATGGCCTGCCGCAGGCAGCTTTCCACAGACGGCCATTTCTTCCAAGGGCGCCCCCTTGTGGTGCGATTGGAATTTTATCTCACAGAATCATCGAATCGGGTGGGACCCCTCCCGATCATCTAGTCCAGCCCCGTGCAATGCAACTAAATAATCCTTGCTTCTACTTAAAAATCTCTGATGAAGGAGAGTTAACAGTCAGGCACCTCAGGAAAACACCCATAGTTTCTGTGCGTTTTGGCTGAAACCGCCAAGGGGGAAAAATGAGATTTTAAAGGCGCTTGCTGTTTCGTTCCTGCCCAAAGCACCTGCGATGAAGCCTGGGCTCACATGCGCTGGCTCTCCAGGCTGCCGAACGTGAGGCTGGCATTGCGCTGGGCTTCCTTCGATGCTGACACCCACAGAGGGCACCTGAGCTCACTGCCGTCTCCGGTGACCTGGGCAGGTCACCCTCTTGCCGCGTTGCTCTCCTTTTCCATGAGCCCATCGCTGGATTAATTAGCCCTGTGGCTGAGATGTCACATTAAACCCCTCCATGGCACCGGAGAACAGAGCAGATCAGCAAATGAGACGATACCTCCATTTAATTAAAAAACCCAGAACTGCAAGAGAGAGTGAGAGAGAGCACACACATTTGTTCTTCGCGAGCATATTAGCTTTCCAGAGGCGGAAGGCATCTTGAGTTTTTCTGGGGTTTCTGCCCAGCAAAGGAGGCCTGTTTTTTGAATTTCATTTCATTTCATCGTCTGGGGATTTCCCCCCCCCCACCTGGGGGGGAACAGATGACAACAACGCTGTTCTTTTGCTTCAGAAATTGAGGTGGGCTATGAGATCCAGAAGGCCATGTGGTGAAATTGAACGCATAAGCCCTGCACATGTCTGAAATGCAGGGCCGGAGAGATGCAGCTTTGTGGTCAATAATAATAATAATATAATAATAATACCCGGCCACTCTGGGTAGCTTCCAACAAAAGGTTAGAAATACATTTAAAACATCAGTTATTAAAAACTTCCCTAAACAGGGCTGCCTTCAGATGTCTTCTAAATGTCAGTTGTTTATTTCATTGATGTCTGATGGGAGGGAGCCACCACCAAGAAGGCCCTCTGCCCGGTTCCCTGTAACCTCACTTCTCGCAGGGAGGGAACCACCAGAAGACTCTCGGAGCTGGACCTCAGTGTCCGGGCTGAATGATGAGGAGATCGTATCTATATACTTTTCTAACTGTCTTTTTACCAGCGCAGCTTCCTCTGGCTGGTAGAGCACGAGACTCTTAATCTCAGGGCTGCGATTTCGAGTCTCACGTTGGGCATTGCAGGGGGTTGGACTAGATGACCTTGGGGGGTCCCTTCCAACTCTAGGATTCCACGGCCGGAGCGCCCCCTGCTTTGGCCTCGGCTGCTTCCTCTTTCCCTCTCTCTTCCCCTCCAGGCGATGAAGAAGATGCACAAGGCTTGCTTAAAGTACCCAGACTGGAAGCAGAAACACAACCCGCATTTCAAGCCCTGGCTGTACCCGGAGCAGAACACCCTGGCTAGCCTGGCGCTCTCGGATCTGGCCATCCAGCATGCCGACTCCCTCGAGAACATCGACGAGAGCAGCCTCTCTGAGACCAAAGACGACCGGGGCGAAGCCAGCGACGAGGACAGCGTCAACTGAACGCCACCCATCGGCCTCTCCTCCTCCCCATTCGCGCACCCGGCCTTTGTTTTGTGTGTGACCCAGGCCTCGGCCAGCCGGGGTTCGCCGGCTCTTTTGGACTACAACTCCCACGGCGCCGGCTGGGCCTTCTGGGAGTTGTGGCTCAAAAGAGCGGCGGGGCCCCAGCTTGCCAAAGGCCGGCGTCACCAACGCAGTTTGTGTTTTCCGAAAAGATACCTCCACGCCTGTCTGGCACTCTCAGTGGTGCAGGGGGGAGGAAAGCGGGTTGGGATGGATGACCTTGGGGGATCCCTTTTTATCCTCCCCCCCCCCCCACAGTTCTATGATCTCCACTCACAGGTGTAGCAAAGCACTCACTTGTCCCCTCTCCGGGTGTTTTGGACTAGAATTCCCACCAGCCCCAACCAAGACAGCCTTATGATGCCCAGTGGCGGAGTTTGGGCTCTCAAATTTCAGCGGCGCATTGAACTGCTCCAAAATCCAGTCCCCATCCCACCCTGCCTCTTACCACCCGTTGCTTGTCATTGTAGCGGCGCCCAGTGCAGGTGAACCGGTCGCGCTCTTCTAAATCCACATCCAGCTGGTTGGAGTTGTAGTTCGAAGCAGCCTGGAGGGCTCCCGGGCGCCGAAGGCTGGCGGAACCAATGCAGTTTGTGGCTTTTAAACCGGTCCCCTCTCCAGGCGCTTTGTGCCACAACTCCCACCAGCCCCACCTGAGACAGCCTTAAGACGCCGCGGCTGGTGGGAACTGTAGTTCGAAACATCTTGAGGGTGCCCAGCTGGGGAATGGGTGGCGGAAATAAGACTTTTCCTTGGACGGACCAGGGGTCCTTTCCCCCTTTGGGTTCCTTGTCCGTCCAAACGACTGCTTAGGCGACAGATCCCTGCCCTGCCCTCGGTTTCAAACACACATTTTCAACCGAGCCACAATTGTGTGGGCGCTTTGCAATGGTTTGCAAATGGGTGGAGAAGCAAATTTCAAATTTTCTGCTCCAGATTGCTGCCTCCCTCCCCCCAACCATCCGGATTTCAGGTCCTGGCCGTGGCTGGTGGGGGCCCTTTCCCTGCAAATCTTGTCCCCCCGCGGAGGTAGCTGAAGAAAACACTCTGGACGCTCCCAGGAGCCTTGTACATCTATTCGTCTGGTTCAGTGGCTGCTATTTTTCACTCTTTTCTGTGTTTCTTCGTAATTGTTATTAGAGCTGCCTCTTAAGGGTTGGGGAAAAGTCTTTTCTTTCTGGTGTGCTTGTGATGGCCGTGGAGGGAGCTTCTGTTTTTGCAGGCAGGGTGTGGGGGTCTTTTCGCAATAGGTTTGGGGGCCGAAGTCTCCCGCAGGCTTCGTCCTTCAAGCCTCTTGCCTTCTTTCTCTCCCTGCAAAATCTGGCAGCCTTTGGCGTGGAATTTAGCCACTCACAGATCTGGGGTTTGAAGACTGTTTTATGGGGGGGGGGGCTGGCTCCTTGAAGCCTCTTTTGCATTTCGGGGGGGGGGGTTGGGTTGGGTGGGGGCAAAAGAAGAAGAAGAAGCGAGATTTCATACGTTGTTATCGGAGCCGTTTATTTGAAAATAAAAGAATTCAAGCAAGCCTGCGTGTTTTCTTTCTTTGCATTGGAAGCGGCCGAGATAATAATAATAATAATAATAATAATAATAATAATTTATTATTTATACCCTGCCCATCTGGGAGGCTTCCAACAAAGTCTTAAAATACCGTAATACATCAAACATTAAAATCTTCCCTAAACAGGGCTGATAAAAGATCCAGAAACCGACCCTTGTAAGGAATGGTTGAGAGAGTTGGGTATCTTTGGCCTGCAGAAGAGGAGACTGAGAGGCGATATGAACCGCCCTGTGACCTTTGGATGAAAGGAGGTATATAAATTTAATAACTATATGAGAGCCACCTTCAAATATCTCAAAGGGCTGTCACCCAGAAGATGGGGCGAGCGATGGTGATGACGGAAACGAGGGTATTTTCTGCAACCAGAGTGAAAGCGTTGTTGGGACATGGTCGCCAGGACCCAACATCCTTGCCAAAACATTTTTTTAAATGTTATTATTTTATTAAATTGATAATACACAAGGATAACAGAGTATTCAAACAATTCAATAAAATGGACCAAAAAAAAGTGAGTGTGGTCAGGAGATGAAAGGAAAATATTTAAAGAAATGTGTGCAAACGAGGCAATATGGCAGTATGCCAAGATATGGCATAAACATTGGATCACAAACTCTCATAATCAAAAATAGCACCAGATTATATCATTTTTGGACGGCATTTGCCATACATGCAACTTTTATGATTTTTTTCATTTCTTTTGTTAAAGGTATAATACTTGGAAAACATTAAGAAATATTCACCATCCCTCAAAGAAGTAGTAGTAGTAGTAGTAGTAGTAGTAGTAATAATAATAATAATAATAATAATAATAATAATAATAATAATAATAATAGCCTTGCTTTCCAGAATGCGAATGCTTTTACTAAAGACTGAACATCTGGCGCCCTCGTGTGGAGGCACGTGGAAATACTTGTGTGTGTGAAACAGCGCCACCTGCTGCCTCCTTTCATGCTCATATCATAAGAAAAATGCCCAAATCCACGTGAGGGCAATATAATAATTGCAGCAGTGGGGACCCTTTTTTGGCCCCGCCCCCATGGGACAACTATGGACGAGGCAGCCCACCTGCCATTCCATCTGTTCTGACTGGCCTGACCCGGCAGCTGGACTCTTCTGAAGTTTAAGCCAAATAAAATATCATAAAGTAGCCTGCGAGCTTTTGATTCTTCCCCAATAGTTGATCTTGCTGGGGGCAAAAACCATGAAGTGGGGAAGGAGAGAGAGAACAATCTGTGTCCTTTGTTTTGTTGTTTAGTCGTTTAGTTGTGTCCTACTCTTCATGACCCCATGGACCAGAGAACACCAGGCACTCCTGTCTTCCGCTGCCTCCCGCAGTTTGGTCAAACTCATGTTCGTAGCTTCGAGAACACTGTCCAACCATCTCGTCCTCTGTCGTCCCCTTCTCCTTGTGCCCTCCATCTTTCCCAACATCAGGGTCTTTTGCAGGAGTCTTCTCAGGAGGTGGCCAAAGTCTTGGAGCCTCAGCTTCAGGATCTGTCCTTCCAGTGAGCACTCAGGGCTGATTTCCTTCAGAATGGATAGGTTTGATCTTCTTGCAGTCCATGGGACTCTCCAGAGTCTCCTCCAGCACCAGAATTCAAAAGCATCCATTCTTCGGCGATCAGCCTTCTTTATGGTCCAGCTCTCACTTCCATACATCACTACTGGGAAAACCATAGCGTTAACTATACGGACCTTTGTTGGCAAGGTGATGTCTCTGCTTTTAAAGATGCTGTCTAGGTTTGTCATTGCTCTGTGTCCTTAGGACATCCCTTTTTCCATCGGAGGGTATTGAGTTATGTGCCCCCCAAGCCAAGGTGATAAGTAACTGTACAATCTTTAGAAGACATCTGAAGGCAGGCCTGCCTTTTTTAATGTTTAATTTTCTATTATGCTTTTATATACGGTGGTTCCTTGGTTCTCAGACTTAATCTGTTCTGGAAGTCTGTTCCAAAACCAACGCATTCCAAAACCAAGGTGCACTTTCCCATAGAAAGGAATGCAAAATGGATTAATCTGTTCCAGACTTTTAAAACCCCCTAAAACAGCAATTTAACATGAATTTTTACTATCTAATGAGACCATTGATCCATAAAATGAAAGTAATAAACAATGCACTGCAGTCACACACACAATCAATCAATCTGTCAATCAGTAGCTGAACTGGGTTTCACGCAGTCACAAAAACAAAACGAAAAAGAGCTGCAAAAACAAAACCACAAAATAAATAGCAAAAACAGACAGACCTCAGTGTAACGCTCAAAACGGAAGTGTGGCACTCAAATTGGAAGCGTAACACTGAAAGCGGAGCACGTTCGGCTTCCAAAAAAAGTTCACCAACCGGTAATTCTGGGTTTGCAGTGTTTGAGTACCAAAGCGTTTGAGAACCAAAGTACCACTGTATGTTGGAAGCCGCCCAGAGAGGCTGGGGCAACCAAGTAAAATGGGTGGGATATAAATAATAAAAAAAAAGTAGTAGCTCCCCTCCCCCCCATAAATAAGCCAAAACATAATGCCAGTAACCTGAATATTCAAAGTGCTTTCAATTATTATGTGCTGTACTTTGGGAACAGAATTGTAGCATTCTAGGCTTTGGGTCTACTAGACAGCACGTCTCAGCTCTGCTTCCAGAGTTGGAGGCAGCAACGCTTCTGAATCCCAGTTGCTGGAAACCCCAGGAGAGGACAGGGGTCTTGTGTTCGAATCCTGCTTATGGGTTTCCCATAAGGGGCATCCCGTTGGCCCCTGTGAGAAGAGGATCCTGGACTGGAGGGGGATCTGGCTGCAGCCTCTTCTGATGTCCTCATCGTTAGGCAGTCTTGGCTGCCCTCCAGATGTTTTTGGCTGCAGCTGTCCTGGCTGAGGCCAATGGGGATTGTTGCCCAAAACATCTGGAGCATCCCAGCTGGGCTGTAGCGTGTTGCGATGTTGGGGATTTGTTTGGCGCATGGCGATATTGCAAAGCATGGAAGCTGGTTGAGGCTGCCTCTGCTGCTCCTTTGCCCCATGTCAACTGAAGAGCAGAAGAACGTAAAACAAAAAAGCCCTGCCGGGTCAGGCCAGCAACCCATATAGAGTCCAGCCTCCTGTTCTCACAGCAGCCAATCAGTTCCCTGTGGGAAATCCACAAGCAGGATTCGAACACAAGAGCCTCTCTTCCCTCTCGCGGTTTCCAGCAACTGAGATTCAGAAGCGTTGCTGTCTCCAACTGGGGAGGGCAGAGCAGAGCCATTAGCGGCTCTCTCAATTCATTTGTCGCATCCCCTTTTAAAGCCTCTGTGATGGCCTGGGATTCAGACGTGGATGCTGAACCTGAGGGATTCCAGCCTGCACAGGAGTCCCCGTCTCCAGAACCAGCTGAGCCAGGGCTGGGGCATGAGCCTGAAGGGTCCTCACCTGTGCTGGATCCTCAGGTGCAGGCACCAGCTGAGTCTGCTCTGGCCCCTGAGGTGATGGAGGACCCATTGCCTGCAGGTGCTCCACTCTCAGCCCCGTCAGGGGAAGCGGAGGTTGCCTCTGGGTCCAGTAATCCTCTAGCCTCTCTGGGGCTGCAGAGGCTCAGAGCAGAGAGGCGGAGGGAGCTAAGTTTCCACAGGAGGAGTGCTCGCCTTCAGGCCAGGAGAGGCGAGTCACCAGAGGATCGGGGCCGCCCTGTGCCTCGGGGCAGATAAAAGCCAGCGAGCCTCAGTCCCAAGTTGCGGGAGCAACATTGTTGGTTCCTGCCTGAGCTCCTGACCCGCCCTGGCTCCCTGCTTGCAAGCCTCTTCCTGACTTCACCCAACTCCCTGCCCTGCACCCAGCTTCAGCTACTACAGACTGCCTCCTCATTGCACCTTTGACCACGGACCAGACTTGGACCTCGCCTCTCGGGTAACCCACGGGACCAGCACAGCCTCCCAAGCTGGCAGCAAGTTCCTGTGGCAATGAGTTCCATAGTTTGCCTCTGTGCTGCATGAAGAAGTCCCTTCTTTTTCTCTTCCCTGCCTCTTCCTTGGAGGCCCCTGAGTTCTACTGCTCTGAGAGAGGGAGAAACAGAGAAACCCTTTTCTCTAACCACTTTCTCCAGGCAATGCATCCATTTATGCAATTCTGTCAGGTCACCTTTTCCCTAACCCGAAAAAGTCCCAAACTCTGCAACCTTTCTCTCTTGTGGGTTCACTCAATTGGCTCAGTCATTTCAGCTGCCCTTTCCTGCACCTTTCCCAATGCTGCAATATCCCCCTTGAGGCAAGGCAACCGGAACTGCTTCTCTCTCTCTCCCTTTCCTTTTTATTCCAAGTAAATATTTCCCGTTTTTTATTCCTCCCACGGCACACGGATCTCGTTTAACGGAAAGGAAAGTCCTGGTCCCCGTGAGATTCTGCTCTCCTCCTCATCCCACCTCCGGGATGATGCACAACTCCAGGTGAGTCTCTCAGGGGCACCTTTTGGGGATGGGTGCCTCGGATGCCAGGGGCACAGAGGTGAAGGGAGGGAGAGGCAGAGAGGCAAAGGAGGAGGAGGAGGAGGAGGAGGCCTGGGTGCCTTGTGCTGAGTCATCGCAGTGGTGGCATCGCCAGCTGCTCCCGCTGAGTCACGCTTTTGTTGCATGAGGACCATCACCATGGCACTGGGGTGCCAATCTTATTTATTTATTCCTTTGATTGTTCGTGCAATTCATAGGGCTTCCTGGAAGCCGAATGCTTGGAGTGGCAAACAGGAGTTTAATGCCAGAGGGCGCATTTGGGGCACTGCCTTCTGGCTGACCCTCCTCCAGGGCCCACAGCAGAAGACGCTGACCTATACTGAATCCATCTAGTTCAGTAGTGTCTACACTGGCAGGCAGAGGCTCTTTAGGATTTCATACAGAATCTCTCCCCTGCCGCTGAGCCATGGCCTCATCCTAGAATCCTAGAATCATAGAGTTGGAAGAGACCACAAGGGCCATCGAGTCCAACCCCCTGCCAAGCAGGAAACACCAT